CGCTTAGACCCAGCTCCTGCGTGGTTCGGAGGTTGCCGGGACCTTGCCCAGCCTGTCCTACACGTGCTCTGGCTCCTGTGAGCATTAATAGGTGCTGGAGTCTAGCCCAGTGTGGCACACCTCAGACAATCCACACCTATGCTGAGGGATGCTATAGCCAAGTCCCGTCCAGTTTGCTTCCCCAATTCCAGCTGTTTCACTCACTGATGGGAAGGCCAGTAGGGGCATCCCGTTAGTTCCCTGACCAGGCTGCCAGCAAAGATCTTGCACATGCCAGTGGTTTCTCTGACCCAGTTCGGTATAACTCATCGCCCAGCTTGGCCTTTGCCATCAGATGCTGCAGCCTGGCCTTGCTGGGTGAGTGCTGCAGTCCAGCTCTGTCCAACCTGCCCCCATCCCTGGCTTTCATGCAAACCAGAGGACTATCCCGCACCTAGTCTTGGCTCCCACACATGCCAGTGCGCAATGTTTGGCCTAGGCCTACCCAATCTGCCTCCTCCCTCCTTCCACCCCCCTCATCCGCCCCCAGCCAACCCACATGCCTGCCGACAAGTGAAGCAGCCCTGTCTGGCCTTACTAGCATCCTGCTGACTCATGCTCACCGGTGGGAGTGGCAAACCACCAGGGAAATTTCCCAAGTTTACCCACCAGGCCCACTCCCAGTCCCAGATGCTACATGCTAGCAGGGGTCAGGCAGTGTCGACCTTTGTGTGTGCTAGTGTATGTTGCGGCCTGGCCGGCCCCACTCCCAGTTCAGCCTGAGAGTGCTACATACTGAACCAGCCTGACCTGTTCCCCAGCCCCAGTACCCATAACTGTTGGTGTGTTCCATAGTCATGGCCTAGATCGGCCAGTTACCGCCCCGCCTTAAGCAAGCCAGCTGGTGTGGCAGCCCTGCGGGGTGAGTTCACAAATTCCCCACAGAATCTGCCCCCAGACCCAGCTCTCTTGCATGCTGGCTTGTGTCATGGTCCAGCTTGACATGGAATGTCTCCTGCCCTAGCACTCACAGGTGGGCACTGTGGTTGCGCCCAGCCAGGCAGGCCCCCCAGCCATGGCTTGTTTGTGTGCCAGTAGTTGGTGGTTGATACCAACAAGCTCAGCTCAGGACTCCCATATGGATGGGTGTATTGGTCTGGTCCTAAAAGGTCCTCTGTTTGTCTCCTGCAAGTCACTAGGCTTCTGCCCCCTTGTTTGTCTACAAGTACAGTAGTCTTCCACCGGAAATCACTCAGCTGTCACATTATCCCTCAGCAATCTTTTCTCCCACACATCTCCAGACCCCTTGAGCAATCCACAGTCCCCCAAGCTTGGTCCTCTGGTGGTGTCATGCCACCCTGGGGTTTTTCCCAGATTCCATGCATGTTTAGGCACAGGTCCCTAGATCCCTTCTGCTAGCATGCTAGTGTCTGCCTCCCACAAATATTTTAAAAACAACAAGAAAGAATAGGCAACTATGCTGGCACACTGGTATAGTTAACACACATTTTGGCATTAGCCAGCTTAATCAGGCCCAGAATGCCTGCCAGCTCTTAGCTGCTTTTTTCCTGGCAGTGTAATACCTGCCTAGGTACAATGCAACCTAGGCAGTTGCCTATAGGTAGGGTTTTGTGTTATTTTTAAACTTCTTGGACAGGGCTAGAAAAGTTTTGGGGGCTAGTTTTACCCCCACTGAAGCAAAAACCTCTGAAAACCTCTGAATACTCCTCCAGATCCCTTATGATGAATGGAGTTGTCCACTGTGGTTGTTGGGAATAAGCACTGTAAGCTCTGGAGATTTCTAGGCCTTAGTACTCTTGGGTGGTTTCTTCCGGGCCTCTGGCACTTGCTTTACACTAATCAGTACCTTGCTGAGTACCTGGGGTGGAGGAGGGGTGGAAGGGTCCGTGTTATAGGTCTTTGCTCAGTGCCTTCCCAGGCTCTCAGCTTTGTCTCCCTAACCCCAGGAGATGGCTGGACTGTCCCTGGGCTCCCTGCAAGCCTGTCCACTGGCATAGTTACATGGCTCCCTCAGTGTGCTGACCATCTGCCTGCTGTCCAGCCTCTTGGGAAACCAATAGATATTGTGTCAATTTCTTATCATTTTTGATTAAGAAGACAGGTCTGGTTCATGTTACTCTGCCTAGATAGAAAACAGATGACATGCATTGTCTGGAATAGCTTTATGGTTTGAAATAGTTCATCATCACCAAGAAATGCATTTAAGTGGTGGTAATGCAAAAATGAAGGTCAGTGCTTGTTATCAAAAATGATACGAGTAAGTGAATCTTTGGTGATGATCCGTGGATTCATTCCAGAGCCTAAGGAAGAATAACCAACTAAAGATGATCAGACTTGGGCCCAGCGCGATGGCGTAGTGGTTAAGGTCCTCGCCTTGCACACACCGGGATCCCATATGGGCGCCAGTTCTAATCCCAGCGGCCCCTCTTCCCATCCAGCTCCCTGCCCGTGGCCCGGGAAAGCAGTTGAGCATGGCCCAAGGCTTTGGGACCCTGCACCCACGTGGGAGACCCAGAAGAGGCTCCTGGCTTCGGATCAGCATAGCATCGGCCATTGTGCTCACTTGGGGAGTGAATCATCGGACGGAAGATCTTCCTCTCTGTCTCTCCTCTCTGTATATCCACCTTTCCAATAAAAATATAAAAAATAATATTTTTTTTTTTTGAAAAAAAGATGATCAGACTTGACTTTGTGTGATAGCTCAATTGGCTAATCTATCACCTCCAAACACTGGGATCCTCTATGGCGCTGGTTCATGTCCCAGCTGCTCCACTTCCCATTCAGCTCCCTGCCTGTGGCCTGGGTAGACAGAGGAGGATCGCCCAAAGCCTTGGGACCCTGCACCTGCAAGGGAGACCCGGAAGAAGCTCTTAGTTTCTGGTTTCACATCAGCTCAACTCCAAACATTGTGGCCATTTGGGGAGTGAATTAGCGGATGGAAGATCTTTCTGTATCTCCTTCTCTCTGCAAATCTGACTTTCCAATAAAAATAAATCTTTTTTGTTATTTTTATTTGAATTTAATAAATAAATAAATCTTAAAAATTAAAAAAAATTGTCAGATTGGTGTTTTTAGTGGGTGAATGTCAGGGCAGAGGGATTTTGCCTTACCTCTTGCTGGTGGGCCTTGGTAGGACTGGACTGGACCTTAGAGACCCAGACAGTGACAGCTGCCCTGTTGTGCTGAGGAAGAGCTTGGGCTTGTGGTCTCCCCAGCCGCAGGGATAATCCTTAAAGATCCCGGTGCCCGCAAGTCACCATGAGTTAATGGATCTTTGCAATGGTACAATGACCTGGGGCAGTGCGCATTAAGGCTGTTAACACTGTCCTAGACCAAGAAGACATTTTGTTCAGTTGCCCAGAGAGTTTTGTAAGGTGATCTGGCTTGTTGTGGACAGGTTGGACCAGATACCGTTATGAGCCCTCTCATTTTTCAATGTTCCTAAATCCTGTATTTTTATAGGTGGGTTTTTTTTTTTTGATATATTATTGAGAAGATTCAACAATGTTGCATCTGAGATTAAAATTCTGCATTTGGTTTGTGTTTGCTGAATTTGTGTCATGTAAAGAATGGGCACTGGTGTCTTAGCAGAGTTGTTTATTCAGTGAATGTTTTTGGTTGTGCACCCCCAGGTGTCAAACCTGCTGTGCACTGGATAGATAATTAGGTATCTGTAAGCTGGAAGGAGGGAGGGCCTTGAGTCCCGGTCCCCATCGTCCCCCCCCCCCCCGTCCTGCAGGAGTCCACCACATGTGACACAGCTGCTCTCAAACGTTCATGCTCACTCTTGGGCTCTTGACAATTACCGTCGATGCTGAAGAGCTTTCGTTCCGTTGACTTGCTTACCATATTCTAAGTTAATACCGATATTGTAAATAATTGATTACATCTGAATAATATCCTTCCCCCCTCAAAATGCCTCCCAATTTTGGAAAGAAATGTGGCATTGTCTTAAATTTCACAGATCTCTCTGTGATTTAGCGTCTGATTTGAGCTACAAATAAAAAGGAAGACTTTTGGTGGACTCTGGATTTTCTGCCCTGGATTAGCCTTTTGGGTGGTCTGGAGGTATCACAGGCTTGCTTAATGGACTTGGCCTCACAATGGGTGAATGCTAGCAAGGAGTAACTCAGCTGTAGGGAGGGGCTGCTGGTCAAGGATCACTAGTCATGCAGCTAGAAGTTTGCAAGCATTGGTTGGAAAATTAATCATTGTTGAGAGGTTCACTGTCGGTGCTTTGAGCACATTAGTTGTGGGAAGTACTTCAGCTGAAGAACTGAGCTGCTCCCCGAATCTGGGGAACGAACAAAGAAGATTCTGTAGTCATTTTCTCTCAGAACTTAAATTCTGTGTCAAGGTTGATGCTAAATATAAGTTAATTATTAAAGTATGCCAAGGTTTGTGGCACCGAGTAGTATGGATTCAAGAACTTGTGTAGCTTTGGAAGTATTATTCCCACTAGCTAATACTTCAGGAACTACTTACTTATCAGTGGAACTTTGCTTCATGTATCAAAAAAATCTCCCATGAACAAGTATTCACCCTTGTTTTTGAATAAATCAGGTTTTATTAAAATATTTTAAGGGGCCAGTGCTATGGTGTAACAAGCTAAGCCTCCTCCCGCAGTGCCAGCATCCCAGGTGATCACACTTCCAGTCTGGCTCCCTGCTGATGGCCTGAGGAAATAGTGAAGCCTGACTCAAGTCCTTGGGACCCTGTACCTGCGTGGGGGACCTGGAATAAGCTCCGATCTCCTGGCTTCGGACCAGCCTGCCTCTGCCGTTGTTGCAGCCATTTGGGGAACGAGCTAGCATTTGGATTCCTCTGTCCTTTGCTCTGTGTAACTTCTGCCGTTCAAATAAAAATAAATGTTTTATTTGAAAAAACAAAATACTTTAAAATGTCAGTTTGGTGGTATCATAAAGAAATGATGTCATAAGGTTACTTAGTCCACTGAGATGTAAAATAAATCATTAACGCTTGCCCTTTTTCTGCCCTAGTTGTCTTGACGTGTTTGGAAGCACAAGATTTTCCCAGTCATTGTAGATATGGACAAAGAAGAAAGGAAGACTATCAACCAGGGTCAGGAAGAGGAAATGGTAATCCGGTTTTGTAATTGTGAAATATCGTTTAATCTCCATAACTTATTCTAGGAAATAGAAAAATGCAGTTAATCATTACCACCACCATCAGCTCTTCAGTGCACTTTACTTTCCTTATCCCGTTTCTGAGTTCGTAGTATGTAATATCTGTTTATTGGTTTTAGTGTAATTAACTCTTTTCTTACCTGCAGACTCCCAAGACCCAAGAAGTATATTTTTGCATTTGGTGATTTAAGAAGTTACATTAGCTGATGTTTGTAAAAGATTTGTAGGGGGCATAAACAGATATCGGGTAAAAGGTGAAGATATCCTGTTAAATTTGAGTTTCAGACAAAGAAGGGAAAGGCTTTTAATATATGTTGCAAAGGTTGTCGGGTAAGCAAAAGAATTGTTGTTTATTTGAAATTTAAATTTAACCAGCTTTCTACATTTTTTACTTGCTGAGTCAGGAAGCCGTTATTGGGTGGTGGTAGGGATGTAATTGAAATACTTGAAATAATTTAGGTCAGAGATCCAATTAACAGTCATAGTAGTTTTAAAACAATTAGCAAGCACTTGAGAAAAATATTGTTTAAAAACCTATTCCATCCAAATTTGGTGTGATAGTCCAGATTGTCCCCTAGATGAGAGAAGTTAACAGTGGAAAACCAGATGAAATGCCAAGACTGAGTTTAGTTGCTGGAAGTGCAGCGGTATTAATCTTGTTTTTTGATGGACATATCAAGAAGGTGTTGCCATTGGGGGTGATTGAACAAGAAATTCTGATACTTTTGTGTTTTTATAAATCAAATTATTCTAAAATAAACTTATTTTTAAAAATGATATAACCTCTCCAGATAAATTCCAGAAGAATTAAAAAGGTATGTGAAAATGACAAAAACTTTAGGAGGAGACGGGTAATTTGGCCTCAGTGCTTAGGGTGCTGTCTGGGGAGTTGTCCCCTGCGTCACAGCACCTTGGCTGGAGTCCTGCTCCGCTGTCTTGTCCACCCTTCTGCTGCGATGCATCTGAAAGTCAGCAGCTCCTGCCAACCCCCGACGTGTGTGGGAGCCCCAGAGGCAGTGCCTCACTCTTGGCTTTGTCCTGGCCAAGACTCAGCAGGCAGTTCAGGAGTGAACCAGAAAATTGGAGATCTATACTGTGACTCTCTCCTTGTGTGTGCCTAGCAAACAAAATGAAATAAAACTTAAAGCTTTTTTTGAATTTTAAGAAAATACATTAAATGTGAATATACTAGATCAGTGGAGAAGAATGTATTAATGACAATATCAAATGTAAAACTGGAAGTATAAATATTGACACATTTTAAAATAATGTCTTTTATTTAACTTGAAACACAGGAATTGAGAGAAAGGGAGGACAGTGAGATCTTCTGTCTGCTGGCTCACTTCCCAAAAGGCCTCAATGGCCAGAACTGTGCTGGTTTGAAGAAAATAGTCAGGAGCTTCTTCTAGGTCTCCTATGTGGGCACAGGCGCCTAAAACCTTGGACCATCCTCTGCTGCCTTCCCAGGTCATCCTCACGGAGCTGGATGGGAAGTGGAGCAGTTGGGACTTGAACTGGTGCCCACGTGGGATGCTGGCACTGCAGGTTGAGGATTATTCCACTACTCCATGGTGCCGCCTCAATATCAGCAAATTTAACTACTTAAAAGCATAACTTTGACAATGAATTTATCAGAAGAAAACCTGCGGAGTAAATTACAGAATAGGAAAATACTTAAGTTTTACATGAGAGAACTTTGGAAGCTGTCTGAAAAAGATCATAGAGTTTACCTAGAACTTTATTACTTGATAATTAATCATGTGATCACTGTGTCCTATGCAGGAGATTTATGGTTACAATTTGAGCCGCTGGAAGCTGGCCGTGGTTTCTTTAGGAGTGATTTGTACTGGCGGGTTCCTCCTCCTCCTCCTCTATTGGATGCCCGAGTGGCGGGTGAAGGCGACCTGTGTTAGAGCTGCAATTAAAGACTGTGAAGTGGTGCTGCTGAGGACTACTGTGAGTGCACGTGTCTTCTGGTTACCGAAGGAGCAGTGCCTGTGTGCACACTGTGTCCAAAGGGCGTGGTACGCATGACCCGGGTATAATGAGCCATGCTCACTCCAGTGGTTCCAAACTGAAGATCTCGGAGGTGATCTTATCCCTCACCTTCCATTTACAGTTCTTGATGTGTGTCAGAGCTGGTGCAGCAGCACAGTGGTTCACATCTCTCACTGGCCAGACCAGCTGTCTTCTGTGTGATGTCGCTGCATCAAGCAGTTTTTTGTTTTTTAATTCTAATTGAAAGCATTTGAAAAGGGTTTTACTGTCCTATGTCAGTATATAATTTGGTAAATTAAGGAATCACTTAGGATATTTTATGGAATATTGGTCATTGTATCAGTGAAGTATGGTCATAAAATTGGTGAGCCATGGAAAGCAGCTGTTGTTTTAGCAAATGAAATATTCATGCTGTGGTTTAGCATTTCCTGAGTAAGAGGTGATGCCTTGTCAAAGATGAGGAAATAATATGTGAAGGATAAAAATCTTGTAGAAAACATAGGCAGTTACGCAATATACAAAACTGACTTTACTTTTCTCCCTTTTTTTTCCTAAGGATGAATTCCAAATGTGGTTTTGTGCAAAAATTCGCTTTCTTCCTTTGGAAACTCCCCCATTTTCGAGTCCAAAATCTACAGTTAATAAGTTTTCCAATGGCCATGCAGTTCATCTAACTGAGAATTTGACTGAAGAGAATAGGCAGGAGATAAATAAATATTCCCAGACTCCATCTCAACAGGTATTGTGATCTTATTAGTACATAAGTTTCCTGAAAAACCAGAATGACTGCATTTTATGTTACCATATACAGCCTATAACATTGTGTTTGCAGTTATTGCTTGAGATAAGTGTCTGTACTTTTAAAATTCATATCACTGTTTATAGCACAGCAGATTATGTGATACAACACTTGATATGATTTTTGATGTAACATTTATGTATATTCTACAGATTCGTTATTTCACCCACCATAGTGTAAAATATATCTGGAATGATACCATTCACAATTTTGATTTCTTAAAGTAAGTATCTTTATTTTTTTTGGTTATATTACGGATATCCTGAAAAATATTTTAGGTAGAAAAGATTTTGCTATAATTACATATAAGTGAAGGCATTTTGTTGCAAACATTTTATTCATGAACACTCCCTAGTGCTATTTGAAGACTCATTAACCACTTTAAAATAAATCAACCTGTCTCATTGCCAACTTTGTGTGAAAGTTAGAAGCAGTGTGACACCAAACCTGCCAAGCCTGCCTTGTTGCTTTTACCTCCTAGTGAATTCTGAGTGAGCCTCCTGGCGTACGGGTTAGCCTAGGACCCTTATCCCCTTGGTATGGCAGTAGTTTCTCTCATAGCTGCAGTTGAGGAATGAGGTAAAGGAAACTTTTAATTGTAATGTGTGGGTGAAGAATGGGGCATTGTGAGACGTGTCAGTACTCTTGAGTAGGACATATTGGAATAATCCCTGTGTTTTTTGTGGAGATCAAGTTCATTAACATTCTATTTTTATTGTCAGTGTTAAAGTGATTATTATAAGCTTTAAATATCGTTGCTTTAGAATGCCAAAGGAATTATTAATTCTAGCAGTATAAACAAGAATCCTGTTATGAACATTTAAAATAGTCCTACGTGGATTTTTCCTTCAGTGAAGTAAAGAATTGGGGAAATCTGAAAGGGTGCAGGGTGTTTCCCAGTGGCTGGTCTTAAAGACCATTGCAGGTCAAGAAGCCTTTCCTTGAGGAAAACTGCCAAGGAGCTGCCATTTTGTCAAAATAGAGAAGTAAAATTGCAACTTCATTACTGGTTCCTGCTACCTTCTGGAGATGTCATCAACCTCATTGGGAAAAAATGTCAAAGCTGTTTGCCATGTGGCTCTTGCCAACCACAGAGGCAAATCAGACAGCCCCGTGGTGACAGTTTACCATCTGAAAAAAGTGGGGAAAGATTGGAATCACGTGTAAGGTTCTCTTGGCTGTAGACTACAGACTGTAGGACGTAGGACTGGAGAACCTTTTTTCCTTTAAGGGTCAGTTGGGTATTTAGTATCGTTATAAGCCAAACAAAATTATCAGTTTCACTTAGCTGCTATAGGTCTTCTGAAATGAGTCCCGCCTGTGGCTGTCTTGGTGGGGCCAGATGTCATGATCTTGAAGGCTGTAATATGGCCCATGGGTTGGACATTCTCCACCCTTGTTTTGGAGAAAATATGACCAGTAGTCAGTTACAGAGAGCACATTTGAGACGTTTTTTTCTGGAAAACTAGGTATGTTAGTTGAGGATCAGCTAGGATTTGCAGATTGGAGATACTGTTTCTGATTCATAAGTTCTGTACTTCCAGTCAAGGGGGATTTATGGAGATGGAAGAAATTGAAGAGGATTTCTTAGGTTAAGCTGTGGATGGAGCTTCTCTGTCTTTAGTTGGAATTGCATAGTTGGTTGGTTATGCTTTAAGCTTAGCTTTTATGCTTTTAGCTTATGCTTTAAGCTTACCTTAAAGCATAGTGATATTATTATAGACATTTAAATGTTTGGAGGCATTTTGTCATGTGATAAATACATTGAAAACTTAAAACTTGTCATGTTTGAGACCTTTCATTGTTTATATTAAGAATTTAAAATCTTAAAGTTTTCACTCATAATCAGTTTTTGTTGAGTTTCTAAAAATTTGTAAGGAAATCACACTTTAAGTCGATTTAAATTAGGAATATAGAAAAAATGAGGCGTTAAGAAGTTTGGATATTTAAAACTTTGTTTAAAGTAAAAACTTTGGATTTATTTAGGGGACTGGATGAAGGTGTTTCTTGTACGTCAATTTATGAAAAGCATAGTGCAGGACTGACAAAGGGGATGCATGCCTACAGGTAAATTTTTATCCAACTATAGTCAGATCTAATCTTGAATCCCTGAATTTGGTAGTACATGTGTAGTCCACCCTTTATCCTACTTGTACATACTAAGAGATGTTTTAATATTTTATTAGATACAAGAGTTGAGTACATAGTGTGATATTTGAATAAGACTGCCTCAGTTTAGGAGTCATACAAATGTTATAACTAATCTGTTCAAGTTGCTATTCCTAAAGTTAGTATATTTCCATTGATTTTGAGGTATAAAGTTTCCTCTGTTCTAGCATCTGTGAAATGTGATGTGTCATAGTTGGTAATGTCATGCTTTACTTGCTAGATTTTTTTTTTTTGATTGTATGTATAAAGTAATGGTATATCTTGACAATTGACAGCATCTTAGATTTTCTGAAATATGTTACTGGGAATTGTATGCATGAGCCCAGATTTACTGCAATGGAAATTATTATAAACTGGTAGATGATCTTTATGCAGAGTTGTTCTATGTTAAAGTATAAAAAGAAACCAGGATATCGCATAATTTAAAAATAAATGGCAATGAATAAATAGCTGGCATTTAAAAAATTTTTAATACTTGTATAGCATGTTCTTTCAAGGATTAGAAAACAAAAAGTTTACTCATTCAAACTTCATAAAATGAAGGAACCAATTACTGTATCCTAGAGAAATGTACTTTTGTGGCATATGGAGTTAAGTAGAAGGATTTAAGCTATTTTTTAGAAGCTTGTTTTTCTAAAAGTCCTGTGTATAATGTTTTGAAATAATCTTGCTAGAAAAGTAATATAGAAAATATAGTAATTAGAAAAGCAAATCTTTAGAGTTTTTAGTCTTATAAAAATTATGAGAAAGATACTTGTCACAGAATTATTCTTGAAAAAATTAATTATGAGAAAGATACTGGTCATAAGTACGTGTGTGAGGCAATGAAATAAAATATCAGAAGTTTAGTTATTTATACCATTTCTGACTTCTTTAATTTAAATGCTTTAGGTAGAGAATTTGAATTACAAAAGACAAGCTCTAGGAAATACTGTGGAGTGCTCTGGTTTGAACCTTAGCTAATGCATTGCTTTTCCTAAATTAAACTAATAGAATATAATGTACCCTTATTTTATTTTCCTGTTTCAGAAAATCGCTTTATGGAGTAAATGAAATTACTGTGAAAGTGCCTTCTGTTTTTAAACTTCTAATTAAAGAGGTAAGACTAACAGTACAATTCAGTGTTTGGTAGATTTGTCAGTTTGGAAGCAGTCATTTTAAGTAATAAAGTATCCTTTTTTTATTTGGTGACTTACCTGGCTTATTTCATTTTAAAGCTAATGGTGGAGAAAGACTTTTGGGCAGAGATTATCTTTTAATTTTTGTTTAAATTTTAATTGTTACCAGGAATATAAGTGTAAAGGATTCTGGTCTTGTAAAGGAGACAGTAAGAGCCAGTATTTAGCAGGAATAGCCTCACAAATGTTCATTCCAGCTTTGGCTAATAAAGGTCCATAGTTAGTACCATAGTTAGTAAATGAGATTGTTTTCCTTTTGTTCCAGAGAACAGCCATATAATGTTGATTAGAAACATGGCATAATGTAATGTAATGATTAGGGATGGGAATGTTGATTTCTTTTATTTATTTATTTATTTATTTATTTATTTATTTATTTATTTTTATTGGAAAGGCGGATATACAGAGGAGGAGAGACAGAGAGGAAGATCTTCCGTCCAATGGTTCACTCCCCAAGTGAGCGCAATAGTTGGAGGTGAGCCAATCTGAAGCCAGGAGCCAGGAGCTCTTCCAGGTCTCCCACGCCAGTGCAGGGTCCCAAGGCTTTGGGCCATCCTCAACTGCTTTCCCAGATGCAAGCAGGGAGCTGTATAGGAAGCAGGACCGCCATGATTAGAACTGGCGACAATATGGGATCCCAGTGTGTGCAAGGCGAGGAGTTTAACCACTACACGATTGTGCCGGGCCCAAATGATTGATTTCTAACCTTGTCCCGTTAGTAATTATTTTTGCTCTTTGAAAATCCCTCTGAATGGGACCAGTGCTGTGACATTGCTCGCATACTGCCTTTTTCCCTTGGGTGCTAGGAAAGTGACCACTCAGTTACTAAGAAGGTTATCTTGTAGATTGCTTCTCAAATGAAAGATGGAGGAGCTGTATGGTTCTAACTTTCATTCAGTTTGATTTAAAATTTTTGCTTTTTAGGTTCTCAACCCATTTTACATTTTCCAGCTGTTCAGTGTTATTCTGTGGAGTACTGATGAGTACTATTACTATGCTCTAGCCATTGTGGTTATGTCCGTAGTCTCAGTTGTAAGCTCGCTCTATTCCATCAGAAAGGTGAGTCAAAACTTACTCCACATTCCATAACCTGTGTTTTGTAGTAGCATAAGGTGTTTAGAATAGTGCTTGGTACAGTGCAAGTATTCCATGGGATTGTTAGTTTGGATGTGAACATAGACTCACGTCTCCCTTTGTCTTGTTGATGTTGGAGGTGGCAGGTGGATTTTAGGCTACCACTTCACGGAGTGGAGGCCATCGGGGCCTGCTTAAGTGTCTTGTAAAGGCAGAGTAGTAGGCCTGCACCATATTAACTAATTTTTAGTATCTTGAAGATAATTGCTTTTTCACTGTGTTGAGGTGAGTTATTTTTTTTTTCCTCTTTCAGCAATATGTGATGTTGCATGACATGGTGGCAACTCATAGTACTGTGAGGGTTTCAGTTTGTAGAGTGAATGAAGGTAAGTCCTTCAGGTGTCTGTTGGAAAAATAAGCCACAAAAGACACTCATTAAGCACTAATATGAAGTCCCAGTGTGTTATACACTCATGGTTTTTAAAGACTAATTTTTATTGGGAAATCAGATTTAAAGAGAGATTGGGGGTGGGGGGAGAGAAAGAGAGAGAGAGAAAGAAAGAAAGATCCTCTAACTGCTGATTCACTGCCCAGGTGGCCACAGTGGCTGGAACTGAGCCAGTCAGAAGCCAGGAGCCAGGAGCTTCTTCTGGGTCTCTATGCGGGTACAGGGTCCCAAGGCTTTGGGCTGTCAGCATTGCTTTCCCAGGCCACAGGCAGGGAGCTGGATGAGAAAAGAGCAGCCCGGATTAGAATCTGCACTCATATGGGATCCCAGTGGATGCATGGCGAGGACTTTAGCCACTAGGCTTTCAGCCTGGGCCCACACTCATTATTTTGAAAACTAAAAATGTGTTTGGATTCCTGAGTTTCTTTGAAGTTCTTTCAGTTATGTAAAACAGTGTTTTTGTACAGTGTGGCAGTTACTGTGCCAGGCTCTGTTGACCTAGTTTTGTTTCAGTTACAGGTGATGATTAGTAGCAACAAAAGGGTGATATATTCCATGATAAAGATCAAATGGCTTACATATTAGAGAGATAGGGAGAGCACATTAACTGGTACGTGTCAGGGCTGACTGGGTTTTTTTTTTTTTTTTTCTGAAAGGCAAAGGGAGAAACACTCCTTTATTCACTCCCTGAATGCCTGTAACACCCAGTAAGTATAGGCCTAGCTGAAACTAAAAACCAGAAATCTCATCCTGGTCTCCCACTTGGGTGGCAGCGGCCCAGGTACTGGGGGAATTTTCTTTTGCCTTCCCAGCCGCATTTGCAGAAAGCTGGATCTGAAGTGAAGTTCGTGGGACTTGAACCAGTGCTCTAATAGGGGATGTAGGTGTTCTGAGTAACAGCTTAAATAAACTGCTCCACTACTGTACAAGCCATCAGGAATACCTTCTTTGATTTTTTTTTTTTTAAGATTTATTAATTTGGAAGAGTTCTATATGGATAGATAGTCTTCCATTGCTTGTTCACTCGTCAGTAATCACAGTGACCAGACTGGGCCAGGCCAAAGGCAGGAGCCAGATTTCTTATGTGGGCAGCAGTGGTCTAAGTACTTAGGCCGTCTGCTTTCTTGGGCACATGAGCAGGGATATGAAGTGGAGCAGTCAGGACTTGAACCAGCACCCATATGGGATGCTAGCATAGCGTGGTGGTTTAATTGCTATTCACAGTGTTCCTAATGAAATGATTTTAAGTGGGCATTGTTTGAATTTGGTGAAGATAGATGAGGGTATGCATTTGGTCAGTGGTTAATACAGTACTTTTGATACACTTTCCCCATTTGGAATGCTTGGTTTCCATTCCCAGCTCCATATCTAGTACCAACTTCTTGCTAATGTGTACTCTTGGAGATAATAGGTGATGCAAGTAGATGGGCTCCTGGCACCCAGGTAGGAGACTTGGGATGAGTTCCTGGCTCCTGGCTCCTGGTTCCAGCTTGCCCCAACCCTAGATGTTGCTGCTATTTGGAGAGTGCACCAACAGCTAGGCTGTCTCTCTGGCTTTCAGATAAAATAATTTTTTTTTTAAATAATGAGAAAGTTGGTAATGTGAAGGTAAAAGACAGAAAGGAGTCCAAATGCTAAAGGTCTTTAACTTGGAGATTGTGTGCTCATGATCAGAACTGAAAGGAATTCAGTGGGCCATATGTAACACTAAGTAATGGACAAGTTTCTAAGGGATGCTGGGGAAGTTGGGTTCAACCCAAAGGCTGTGGGATGCTTGAAAGGTTTTAAGCAGGGTGGTGGTATGAAAATATTTGCTTTTTTAGAAAAAAAGTGTTCTGACTTTTGTGTTCAAACTGGTGTAGAGAGAAGTTTTGGAGGAGAAATGAGGTAAGTTTGAAAAATACTTAAGACATTGGACAGGTTTTAGTGATGATTAATTTGCTCAGATTAGGTGAGTGTTGAGTAGATCATTGCCTTTTTTTTTCCCAAGTTACAAATTTCCCCTCTTTTTTCAAATTTAGAAATAGAAGAGATCTTTTCCACAGACCTTGTGCCAGGAGATGTCATGGTCATTCCATTAAATGGGACAGTTATGCCTTGTGATGCAGTGCTTATAAATGGCACCTGCATTGTGAATGAAAGCATGTTAACAGGTAAATGAAAGTGAATGAATCCATTTCTGCATTATGCTTCGACATGGTACTGAGTAATTCCCTGTGCTGCCGGCTGTATCTCTCAGCCTGCCTCTGCTCACTGTTTGAGGCCATGGTTGTAGTTAGGGAGGAGGAAAGAAATCCTTTGCTTGTGGAGATCTTGTTTCCCTACTTATGTAAGAAAACACGAGTTAAGATTTCAAACGTTGGCCTTGCTTCCCTTTGGAAATTCACAATCTGGAAGGAGAGTTTTATATCTTTTTAAAAATTGTGTGGTTTGTTATCAGTCTAGCAAGAAAAAGATTCCCACATAGTGCATCTTGAAATTGTTGATTCTTATCTTAAAACAAATACACAGAAAATTTCTGTACACTTGCCTCTCAAGCACGAAGTATGAATGCTACAGAGAATTCACTCTTTTTGAAATCCTGTTAGAAGATTCATTTGAAAGGCAGAGTGATGGAGAGACACACACCCACACACACAGAACTCTTCATCCAGTGATTGTCATTGTCAGATGTAGGCAGTAGCTGATTGAGGGCCAGGTGGAAGTCAGGAATCGGGAACTTCAGTTGGGGGCGGGGGAGGTTCTCCCATGTGTACTCAGGTTCCCGAGAACTCAGGCCGTCCTTTGCTGCTTCCCTAGGCACATTAACAGGAAGCTGGGTTAGAAATGGAGTAGTTGGGACATGAACTAGCAGTCTGAACTGGGATGTGTGTGTATCACAAGTGACAACTTCACCCGTTGTGCCACAATGCGCACCTTGAATATTTTAAAGAGAATCTTGTTATTTGATAGGATTTGGAAGGATTTGAAAGGATTCCCACACCTACGCACTTCTCTTCTCTCCCTTGCCTAGAAACCTTTTCTGTTCCATGAAAGGAGAGAAATGGGGAGTGTGCGTGTGTGTGTTTGTGTGTGTATGTGTGTAAGGGTAGTAAGTCTTCATACTTCTTGTCTTTGTGGTAACTTTTCCATTCTAGTAGTCGAGAGCAAAAAAATGAGGTAATTTTGTCTGACAACATAATTTTGAAATATATGCATTTTAGTTGTAAACCACTTTTTGAAATTACTGTTAAGAGTCAACAATATTAGGTGGGGAAATTGGCAGACAAAAAGGTAATTCATTAAGTTATGTGATTCGTGTCTATAGCTCTGTATTTTATTGTAAAGAGCGTAGCAACATTTAGGATATTTAATATATTTGGGGTGTTTGATAATGATTTCTGTGCTTTCTTACATTGATGTTTTAATGAATTTTTCCCTTCTTTCTAGGAGAAAGTGTTCCAGTGACAAAGACTAATTTGCCAAATCCTGCAGTGGATGTTAAAGGAAGCGGAGACGAATTATATAGCCCTGAAACACATAAACGACACACTTTGTTTTGTGGGACCACTGTCATTCAGACTCGTTTCTATACTGGAGAACTTGTCAAAGCCATAGTAGTTAGAACAGGTAGAAGAAAATGTTTAAACTTGTCTTACAAGTTTTAGCATATGATACCTGCTGAATGTTTTAAGAAAAGAATGTTGTTTGAGAAGTAGTTTTCATTTCCTTGTAAAAGTGTGACTTCTTTTCCTCTAATTTTTTGCAAGGATTTAGTACTTCCAAAGGACAACTTGTCCGTTCCATATTGTATCCCAAACCAACTGATTTCAAACTCTACAGAGATGCATACTTGTTCCTTCTGTGTCTTGTGGCAGTGGCAGGCATCGGATTCATCTACACTATTATCAATAGTGTTCTAAATGAGGTATTTATCTCTGTTGGCTTTGATTCTTAATCATCGTAAGTGGCTATTGAGGGTTTTCAGGGGCTGGTGAGATTGGAAGAACCTAGAATGTTTAAGCTAATCTGATTTTAATTAGTTTAGTTCCTAGTGTCATACGGCTTTTTAAAAGTTATGGTATCAGAGAGCTGAGAAGAAAGAAGGGTCTCGGTGTGGTGGCCTAGCAGCCAAAGTCTACCTTGAACATGCCAGGATCCCATATTGACACTAGTTCTAATCTCATCAGCCCCGCTTCTCATCCAGCTCCCTGCTTGTGGCCTGGGAAAGCAGTCCAGGACAGCCCAAAGCCTTGGGTTCCTGCACCTGTGTGGGAGACCTGAAGGAGGTTTCTGGCTCCTGGCTTTGGATTGGCGCAGCACTGGCTGTTGTGGTCACTTGGGGAGTGAATGATTGGATGGAAGGTCTTCCTCTCTGTCTCTCCTCATCTCTGCTTATCTGACTTTGCAATAACAATAAATAAATCTTTAAAAAAATGTTCCAGGAGAAGAACTTCCATTGAAGCTCCTGACTCCTGGCTTTGGATCAGCTCTGCTCCAGCCATTGTGGCCACTTGAGTGAACTAGTGGATGAAACATTCTCTCTCTCTCTCTCTCCTTCTGTCTTTAAATTTGCCCTTCACATAAAAACAGAGCTTTAAAAAATTGTTTTACTTTTAAAGACCTTGCTAACTTATTCTTTTTTTATTTTTTGTTTTTTCTTTTTGTTTCTTTTAACTTATTCATTACCATTTATTTATTTGAAAAAGAACTTCTATCTGATTGTTTACTCCCCACATGGCCACAACAGCTGGGACTGTGTCAAGCTGAAGCCAGGATCCCACAATATCTAGTTCTCCCATGTGGGTATAAGAGCCTAAGCACCTGTGCCATTAGTAGGGAGCTGACTAGAAGTGGAACAGCTGAGACACAAGGATAGCAGCATTGCAGGTAGTGGTTTCACTCACTGTACCACGGTGCTGGCCGCTTAGTTTTCTGTTCCCTGGAGAGACTCACAGGGTGGTGCTTACAGGATAAGCCACTTCCTGACAGTGCTTGTAGAACCTGAGTTATGTGTGTTGTGTGTGAAGGATGCAAGGGTTTTACAATGAGAGACTTTTCCTTTACAGTTGCTATTGGTCTGTGATCCGTTGACAATTGAACTTTATAATTGAACTTTATAATTTGCGGAATCTCTGAAGGAAAAAAATTATGTACAGTTAATAAATGTATGCATATATACTGATACACAAAATTCAAATTTTTACTGAGTCAATATTCAACTTAGTTAGCATCTAATACTGTGTTTTTGACATTTTGTGTTCATTTTAGGTAGAAGTTGGGGTAATAATTATTGAATCTCTTGATATCATTACAATCACTGTGCCACCTGCACTTCCTGCTGCAATGACTGCTGGTATTGTATATGCTCAGAGAAGATTGAAAAAAATTGGCATTTTCTGTATCAGTCCCCAAAGGATTAATATCTGTGGACAGCTGAATCTTGTTTGCTTTGACAAGGTTGGGCCAATTTCATCATCATCCTCAAAAGTTAACTTGTAGCTTTAAAATATGTGGAATCTGCTTTCCTGGTTTTTTTTTGGTCTGCTAATATGCATATGGTAATGCACCTCTGACTTTTCCTCTTCTTTTTGTAATACGTGTCATTTTTATGTATTTACTATTTCCTCAATTCTTACTCTTTTGGAATATATGTAAATCTACAGTGGGCTAATTTACCTCCAGATTGAACATGATCCTGCCTATTTCTAGATAGTTCTTATGTAATAGAACAGTCTCTATATAGCAGTAATTGCTGTGCTTTTATTGTGATTTATGGTGTTAGTGTTTGCCGAATGATGTTGAATGTAAGTTTAAAAGCTCTTAACTTTACTCACCTCATAGTTTTTCTGTAAATATTTTGAGCCCCACCTACATAGTGCAATGCTACCATGAAACTGTAAACTTAGAGTTGTCTTTATCTAATATCTACTGTAGATTTCCCTGCCTATCTTAAAAATATCTCAAACTTGTACAATATATATATTTTTCACATAATACAAATAGAAATCACATTGATAATGTTAATATGTAATGCTTGATTTTCATTGCTTCTCAGTTCTCAGTCTTTTTTTTTAATTTAAAGCTGGATCATGTACGACCTAAATTGGGCCGATTGCTTCCTTCTGAAGTCATTTCACTTGGTCTCCTTGGCTTATTACATCCTGAACCCTCACTCTTTTGTAGGCTGGTTAATAGATTGACTGGTATATTTCACCGGTTTTTCCTGAACTCTTCAGTATGTCCATGACATATAGTTTTAATGGTGTGTTCTGTTTTGAGGTGTTATCCTTACTCTGCTGCATGTGAATTCCTTTTTTTTTTTTTTTTTTTTTTTCTCCAGACAGGAACTCTCACTGAAGATGGTTTAGATCTTTGGGGGATTCAACGAGTGGAAAATACACGGTAAATATGCACCATAGATGATTGATTTTTTAGAGAAAATTTTGGAGTTAGCATTTTGCTTGAAAGGCAAAGGGATCTTTTATCCGTTCGTTCATTTGCCAAATGCTTGCATGGGAAATGGGTCAGGCAGAAGGCAGAAGCTTAGAACTTTATCAGGTCTTCCCCCTAAGAGCAACAGGGGCCCAGGTGCTTGAGCAATTCTGTGCTGCCTTCTAGGATGAGTATTAGCAAGAAGCTGGATTGGACGCAGGATAGCTGGCACTCGAAGCAGGGCTTTTCTTCTGGGATGATGGCATCACAAGCAGTGACTTAAGCTGCTGCACCCAATGTCCACCCCAATTATTTGATTTTCAATAAATGTTTTAAGATGCAAGATTCAAACACATACAAAGTAACATAACAACTATAACTGTGTAACTGTCATCAAGATTAAACAGTTGACATCTTAGCATATTCATACTTGCTTCAGATATCTTTTTTTTCCCCCTTTTGAGATTTACTTTTTTATTGGGAAGGCAGATTTACAAAGAGGAGGAAAGACAGAAAAATCTTCTATCTACTGGTTCACTGTTCAAATGGCCATAATGGCTGGAGCTGAGTCAATTCAAAGCCAGGAGCCAAGAGCTTCTTCCTGGTCTCCCATCTGTGTGCAGGATCTCTAGGCTTTGGGTCATCCTTCACTGCTTTCCCAGGCCACAAGCAGGGAGCTGGATGGGAAGGGAAGTAGCTGGACATGTATTGACACCCATATGGGCTCCTGGTGCTTGAAAGAGAAGAATTGGCCAATTAAGCTATTGTTCTGTTCCCCAGATATCTTTAAAAGATTAAAATACTTTAGAAATTGTTAATGTCTTACTCTGTCCCGTTTTTCTTAGTACCATTCTAAGTGGTTTTGGCTTTTACATATTTTATATTTTCATTGTATGCATAATTTATAAATAAACATGAGAGTATCTTGAAAAGCTTTTATAAAGTGAAACTAAAAGGTAATTTGATTTTGGTAGACATAGATTTGTTTTTTGCTTTTTAGAGATTCATTTTTATTTATTTGAAAAGCATATTGACTGAGAGGGAGAAAAGAATGGGAAGGTAGAAGGAGAGTGCACAGTGCTGTCCGTTTGCTGGTTCACTCCCAGATGTCTGCAGCAGCTGGGTCTGCTCTGGGTGGAAGGCAGGAGCCCAGGTGTTTGGGCCATCATCTGTTGTTTTCCCAGACGCATTAGCAGGCAGCTGGATGGGAGGCTGAGTAGCAAGACTTGAACCATCCTTCAATATAGAATGGCAGCACAGCAGGCAGCTTAACTTGCTGTGCCAGAATGTAGGCCCTGCATACTTGTTAAAATACACATTTTGCATATTGAAGGTTCTCTCTTAAAATGAGTGATAACCTGTCCATCTGTTCCTGCTGCCTTTTCCCCTTAAGTGTTGATATGTACAGGTCAGATTTAATGTCATTACTCTGTGGTATTCCAATTTATGATTAGAATGTGGTAGGTGTCTTTTAGTAAGGGACAGTTTATTTCTGCTTTCCCTCACCCCCGGTACTTTCACAAATCACATTGTAATTAAAATTAAAATGGCTGGAGTCTCGGTAAGGTAGGTCCTATGGTCAGTGCTGGTTACAGGCACACGGGAAATCTCACCTAAAGGGTTTTGTCTCATTGCTCTCTTTCTGAGAACTGCTGAATTTCATTGTGGAGACATTAGTAGTTGTCTAACTTTAAAAGTGACTTTACTTCAATCTTTGTCAAATTTGTTTGTGCCAAATGAATGGATTTCTTATAAAATTTCTTTTCCTTGTGACTTTATTGGCATCCCTAATTAACAAATCTGAGCATCTTTTGTGTTTTTGGAAGGAGGGTCGTTTTACACATTTCAGTATTGCATTATCTCTTAATTTTTTTGGTTACGTTATTAGTCGCTAGTGTATCCATTGTTAGTATTCCTTTGTGTTTTCTCGATTGTATTTATCAATACTGTGTATTGCAAATACAATAATCTCTTGCTCATCTATTTTCGTCTTTGAAGTTTGGAAGCTTCACTACTGTAGTTGTGCTTTTACTTATTGGTTTATACAATAGAAGAGAGGATGTTATTTGGTATTTTCAGTAATTCTTGTGTCTTTAATTTTTATAACCTAGTGAATTTACTAACCTCCAGTACTGCATGTTACCTTTCATTCTTAGCTCTGTACTAGCTTTCTTAGTGTTTTCCATGTAGATCTTTACCTGTTGGTTTTTTGTGTGCTACTGTGCTCCCTTTTGTTCAAATATATTTGAAATTATATGAACCCGAGACAAATTAACATGCCCATTTCAGATGTGGAAATATCCAAATAAACTTTCTTGCCCAACGTATGGTTTGGACCCAACAAAAGGGAAAACCAAGCATGAGGGAAAGAGCATAACAGAAGAGAAATAGGTTGAACGTTTCCTGGGTTTATGAAAACATATATCCTTAGAATCCAGAAGTAAAATGGAATTCATATGCAAATTAAAAAAACAAGTTGAAATGCATATATCAAGGGTGAAGAATTAAATTTAGAGTGACAGGCAAAGAAGGAGATTAGCAAAGCAACAATGACTCTTTAGCAGCAAGAACAAGAAGGCTAAGGTGAGAGTAAAACAAAATTAATTATAGTATAGTTATAAAGAAGAGAATTTAATTCACAGGAATGGGATACAAGAATTAACAGAAAAGTGTGTAAACAGAAAAATCTATGCATATAGGTTATATAAAACCAAAATCATAATGTTGCATATTACATAATAATAAATATCAGGAAGAGAGAGGAGGAGCCAGCTCAGTCCACTGTGCAGCAGTCCCTATCCAAACAAGCTTACTTGTTATTTTGGTTTGTGAGTGAAGTTTTTTCTCGTTTACTCTTCTCGCAAAATACATAGGTATTCACCCACAATTGCCTTTTTTTGTATGAGTGTAATTCTGTCAGTACTAATTCCCTCTTTATGTGGATCCAGGACTTTATTTGTTGTTCTTGTGTAGATATAGAAACCCATGTCCCCGGGACTAGGGGGAGGAGCTTTCTCTGGTTCTTGCCTGGTGCCGACTTTGGGTCCCCACCCTCTCTCGTAATGACCATCAGGATCGCTCCAGAAACCCCCCAAAACAAACTAACAAATAAACAAACAAAAAAACCCCTAGAATAGATAGAGAACAACAAGGAAAGCTTAGAAACAGGAAACAGGCAGTGAGGATGCACTTATAACTCACTGGGTGGGACACACAGATTAGTTACTCCTCACTAGGTTTTTTTTTTTTTTTTAAAGATTTATTTTTATTATTTTTTTATTGGAAAAGCAGATATACAGAGAGGAGGAGAGACAGAGAAGAAGATCTTCCATCCGATGATTCACTCCCCAAGTGAGCGCAACGGGTCGATACTATGCCAATCCGAATCCAGGAGCCTCTTCCGGGTCTCGCACCCGGGTGCAGGGTCCCAAAGCTTTGGGCCGTCCTCGACTGCTTTCCCAGGCCACAGGCAGGGAGCTGGAAGGGAAGCAGGGCTGCCTGGATTAGAACCGGCGCCCATATGGGATCCCGGGCGTGCAAGGCGAGGACCTTAACCACTTGCGCCACCACCTTGCACGCCCGCTCACTAGGGTTTTGAAGATTTCTCTGCACACCCCTCCTAAAATTGTTCACCTAAACTGTTAACGTATGTCTTGTTAGAGTTATAGACTACCTGAAAAACAGCCAGGTTCTGCAAAATCGTGCATCAACGCTATGAACTGCTAAATACTAAAATTAAAATAGACATGAGACAGCTGAATAGTAATCTATAGCCATTTTAAGGTGTATAGAACCCAATTGTATAAACTAATAATTGTAACATCAATGTAGAAGTCATAGGATGTGGTTCAGAACTTGCACTCTTTTTTTTCTCTCTCTCTCTCTCTCTCTCTGTCTCTCTCTCTTTTAACATGCTGGTTACACAATACCATGACAACTAATTCCATTACGTTATAAATTGTTACTGATATAATGTCGGGGTTTTTAATTGATTGGGATGATACTCTGTCAGCTCTACCTTCAGACCAGAGACGGTCTCCCCAAGAAACTGCTGAACTTATCTGCACAATAAGATGATGGACTCTATGCTTTGTAGTTGCTTGCAAGTAAAGCATCTCAACTGAATCTGAACTGTAGTAATGCAACAAGAATCCACCATGGGGGGGGGAGCGGTTTGGGGGAGGAAAGGGGGGAATTCCAGAGCCTATAAAACTATGTCACAAAATGTAATGTAATCAATAAAAAATAAATTAAAAAACAAACAAACAAACAAAGAAACCCATGCCTCTGGGATTCAAAGAAAGACCTCCCCTTCCTCACCACAGCAGCTCAAGCTCCTGCCCTCTGATGTTCTTTTTTCCTGTGTTCCTGGCGCTTGAAAATTTCTGTTACAAGCTTAGTTTGATTTAAAATAATTATTTTTTATTTAGAAAACCTGAAAAGATAGCCTAGAAAATTGTCTTAGTTCTTAGAACTTATAAATCTGATTCACTGTATTTTCTGTTTAGATTTCTTTTACCAGAAGAAAATGTTTGCAATGAGATGTTGGTAAAATCTCAGTTTGTTGCTTGTATGGCTACATGCCATTCACTTACAAGAATTGAAGGAGTGCTTTCTGGAGATCCACTCGATTTGAAAATGTTTGAAGCCATTGGATGGGTGAGTTCAAAACTGTAAAGTGACTTTAAGAGCATAATAAAACTCTTTATAGAAAGATGATTTCTCCTAGTTGTTTTGATGATAGTCTTACATATTACATGGGTCCTAAATGGAACTATATAGTTTCCAAAAATATGTCACTGGGGAAATAAATACAATTATGTAAAAATCATTGATATAACTTAGACAATTTTTTAAATAATTTATTTTGTTTTTTATGATATTTACATAGTTAAGAGGAATGCACACCTATGTGGACCACTGCATAGGGTCAAGGAATGAGGGAAAGTGGATGCAACAACTGTCTCCAGTCCCGGGGAGAGAAGGAGAGGAAGCCAATCCCAGCTGCCCAATTGCTTCAGTTGCCACCCGATGTCATCCGAGGGTCCCCTATGTGAAGCATATTCCAAGGGCACTGCTCAAGTGGTTTTGATAATTCTGATACGCTGTTGACTTTGTTGCTCCAAGATTATGGAAATTCTTCCAGGGATAATTGGCTGACAGAGTCTAGCTTAGAGACTCCACTGGCCCAGATACTTGCTGACTAGGAGACTTGTCCAATTTGTTCTGCCCTCCGTAGTACTAGACAACCTGTGCAGGCCTCTGAGCTGGTTGTCATGATCCCCATGTGCATTTGGACATGCTGTCTGCTGCACAGACTTCAGCAACCGAGGATATCCAGTTCTGTTACTTGCACTCCACAGTCAGACCACACATGCTGTGATTTTTTTCCCTGCTGTTTGGAGTTCTGAGTCCAGTGATCCAGTTGGGTGGGAAAGCCCCAAAGAAACCTTGCCAGAGGTGAGCCCAGGCTTGACTCAGCCAGTGTGGGGTCCAGTTGAGTCCATCACCCACATCAGCCTAGACGTACTGGTGGTTGGAGTTGCCTGGTCATTTCTGTCCCCAGCCCCATTTCGATTCAAAAACCAGTGGATGCTGCAGTTCAGTCCCTGGCTGCCCTCCACACACTCTGCCCTCACACACACACACACACCAGTGGGAACTGCAGCCTAGTTAGAGTAAGTCTCAGCAGCTTCTACTGGACTTGCCCCCACCCCTGATTCCTGCATATTTCAGTGTGTGCAGGATAGTGGCCCATTCGCTCCCCCTCCCCATTTGGCTCTTATGCATATCAATGGGTTTTGTAGCCTGGCTCAGCCCAACCAATCCCACACTCCAGTCCACACTCATGACTGTGGGTACCACTGCCTTTCCAGCTAGGTCCATGCCCGGCACTGGTTCTTATGCTCACCATGGGAGCTGCAGCAGATCAGAGGGGGAGTCTATAACTTTGCTGCTATGCTTACTCCCAGCCCCTTATCTTACACTTTCCAGCTGGTTATGCAGTCTAGCCTAACAGGACTTCCTCCAAGTTCTAGCACCTACTAGCCAGTACTACATGAAAGTCCAACCAGCTTGAATTCACTCTGGCTCGTGAATAAAGCATGGGATATGGTTGCTTAGCCTAGCCTGGCTTTCCCCCTAACCCAGATCATGTGCAGGCTGGAGGATTTTGTAGCTCTGCCCAGTTTGGAATGCCCTTCCTCCTGTCCTTAATATAAATTGGCTGGTGTTTTAGCCCAACATGGCCTTTTCACATTTGGCAATGTGTGCTATGAACTGGCTTAGGCTAGCCCACCCCCAGACCTGACCCACACATATACTGGTGGGTATTGTAACATGGTCTGGTCTAGGCTGCTCCCAGCTTGGTTCTTGCATTCACTTGTAGGGACTGTGTCCTGGAAGAAGAGTTCCCCAAGCTCTTCTATCAGGTCACCTACAAGTAGCAGATCTTGTGCACACTGGTGGGTTCTTGCTCCAGCCAGACTTGGCCCACCTCCTGTCCTTGCAGGTATGGCAGCTTTGCCTGACTAACCCGCATCCATTCTGGCTCTCGTTGTTGGGTGTTACATCCCAGCCCAGTATGGCCCGCCCGCTTAGACCCAGCTCCTGCATGGTTCGGAGGTTGCCGGGACCTTGCCCAGCCTGTCCTACACGTGCTCTGGCTTCTGTGAGCATTAACAGGCTGGGAGTCTAGCCCAGTGTGGCACACCTCAGACTCAATCCACATCTATGCTGAGGGATGCTACAGCCATGCCAGCTCAGTTTGGCACCATCATTCTTGTTTTGTTTTTTATTAATTTTTAAAATTTTTGACAATCTTTACATAGTTAATTAGGGTAAAAAGGTTCAAGGGCTATAGGAAAGTGGGTAAGACTATTATTTCCATATGATTTCCTTCATGTTTAAAAGGGGGGTACTAAGGGAGAAGGCCTACCCAATTTCCCACACTCCCCAAGTCCCAGATATAGAGCATGCTCCGAGGTTCTTGCCCAAGTGGTTTTAAAGTTCACCACTTTTTTTATTTTGTTTTTAATGCAAGTTCTTTTTTTTTTTTTAAGATTTATTTATTTTTATTACAAAGTCAGATATACAGAGAGGAGGAGAGATAGAAAGGAAGATCTTCCGTCTGATGATTCACTCCCCAAGTGAGTGCAATGGCTGATGCTGTGCCGGTCCGAAGCCGGGAACCAGGAACCTATTCCGGGTATCCCACACGAGTGCAGCGTCCCAAGGCTTTGGGCCATCCTCGACTGCTTTCCCAGGCCACAAGCAGGGAGCTGGATGGGAAGTGGAGCTGCCGGGATTAGAACCGGCACCCATATGGGATCCTGGGGCGTTCAAGGTGAGGACTTTAGCTGCTAGGCCACGCTGTCAGGCCCAATAGTTCCCCAGTTATGAATTGCTGCCAATCTTGCCACTCCGAGCATGATGAGTGGCACCATCATTCTTGCTCTCACGGTCACCAGCAGGAACTGCAGCCCAGCCTGGGCGTTCCCTTAACTGTATGACCAGGCTTGCTCCCAGCCACTGATCTTGCAGCTGTTGGTGGTTGCTTTCACCCAGCCTGGCATTGCCCATCACCTGTCTTTGTCATCAGATGCTGCAGTCTGGCCCGCCCACAGTCCCAATTTTTGTTGTTGCATGCTACAGCCTAGCCCTGCCCAGTTGGCCCTCATCCCTGGCTTCCATGAAAATCAGTAGTTGTGATATATCCTAGCATAGCCTGGCATGGCATGCACCCCATCCTAGCTCTTGTACATGCCAGTGTGCTATGTTTTGGCCTTACCCTACCTGGTCCTTCCCCACAGAGCCAACCCATACACCCACCAACAAGTGAAGCAGCCACCCTGGCCTGCCCAACACCCTGCTGACTCACATGCTTATCACTCGGAGTGACAGTCTGCCAGGGGAATTTCTCAAGTCCCGCCCCCAGGCCCACTCCCAGACCCAGATCTCACATTAGCCCGCAGGTCTAGACCCCTGTTTTTCAGTCTGCCCCCTAGTGTAGGCTTTTGTGTATGTTAGTGGATGTTGTGGCATGGTCCATCCCATTTGGGTGTACCAGTGGGTGCTACAGCCTGAACCAGCCTGGCCTGTTTTTAACCCCAGTTTCCTCAAGTAAGCCAGATGGTATGGCAGTCGTACATATGAGCCAACAAATTCCCCACAGACCCAATTCTCTTGTGAGCTGGTGAGTGTCATGGCCCAGCCTGACGTGGGCCACCATCCTGCCCCAATACTGGAGTCTAGCCAGCAGAGAGTGTTTGATACTAGCCAGCCCAACTCGGGTCTCCCATATGGCATGCACATTGGTTTGGCCATCAAAGATCCACTGGTTCTCAGCCTCCTTGTTTACCTTGCAGTGGCCTGCTTATTGGAGTCCCCCAGAAGTCCCTCCTTGCCTGTCAAGTTCTCCCTTAGCAGTCTTCCCCCCACAAATCCCCAGAACCCGTTCTGTGCGCAATCCACAGCCCTGCATACCCATGACCATGCAGATCCCCAAGCCCAGTCTTGCTGTGGTGTGCTGTGCCAATATGGAGCTTTGCCTGCCCAGACAGGGCCCACACACGTTTGCATGTGGGTGGGTCCACAGACCGTCTGCTAGCATACAGACATCTGTCCCCCACATGTCCTCAGAAAAAAAGAAAAAAGGGATAGGCAACTATGCTGGCACACTGATATAATTAACACAAACTTGGCATTAACCAGGCCCAGGATGTCTGCTAGCTATTAGCTGCTTTTCTCCCAGCAGTGTAACACCTGCCTAGATACAATGCAACATGGGCAGTTCATATAGGTGGGTATTTTGCTAATATAAATTCCCTTAATAGAAGTTGGCTATTTCAGGTCCCTATTTCATGATTATAAGATTAAAACAGCTGTTAGCACCTTATCAGTAGACTGAAAATAGGTGGAAGGATCGTAACTGACACAGTTTATTGGCCACATGCCATATTTTATAAAGCAGTCATGTGTCCTCTTTTATTTTGTATTTGTTCTGTATATAAACACATACATACTTGGTTGTTTTTTAACAATTTCCTTCTGTTTTTATCACTGATAATTTTAGTTTTTAAGCATTTGCCATTATTCCCTGGTTGTTAACATTTTATAGCATTTACTTCTTTTATAGATGCAATAATAATTTTTTTTTCAAGATTTACTCGTTTTTATTGGAAAGTCAGATTTTTTTTTTAAAGATTTATTTTTATTATTTTTTTTTATTGGAAAGGCAGATATACAGAGAGGAGAGATAGAGAGGAAGATCTTCCGTCTGATGATTCACTCCCCAAGTGAGCGCAACGGCCGGTACTGCGCCGATCCGAAGCCAGGAGCCTCTTCTGGGTCTCCCACGCAGGTGCAGGGTCCCAAAGCTTTGGGCTGTCCTCGACTGCTTTCCCAGGCCACAGGCAGGGAGCTGGAAGGGAAGAGGGGCTGCCGGGATAGAACCGGCACCCATATGGGATCCCGGGCGTGCAAGGCGAGGACCTTAACCACTACGCCACCGTGCCGGGCCCCGGAAAGTCAGAGTTACAGAGAGAAGGAGAAACAAAAAGATCCTGCATCTGCTGGTTTACTCCCCAAGTGGCCACAATGGCCGGAGCTGAGCCAGGAGCCTGTTTGGGGTTTCCCATGTAGGTGCAAGGTCCCAAGTCTTAGGCCATGCTCTACTGCTTTCCCAGGCCAGCAGGGAGCTGAATGGGAAGTGAAACAACTGGAGATGAACAAGTGCCCATATAGGATCCTGGCTGCTGCATGGCTGGGCCCAGTAATTGGTTTCATTTGTCATAATGGTCATTCACATTATGGACTGCAGTGTGATGTTTCAGTGAATGTATTCAGAGCTTATAGTGATTGGCTTTTTGCATCAGCTGATGGTTTAAGTGGTTGTGTCTTGTCACTCACACAGATCTGGATCGAGTTTCTAGTTCCTGACTTTATTCTGATCCAACCTTGGCTGTTGTGGGCATTTAGGAGGTTGGTCTGTCCTCCTTGTCCCTCTTTCAAATAAATTGAGAAACAAAGACAGTCTTCATAAAGTTTTCTTCTGGCTTCTGAGTTACCTCTTTTTTCTAATGTATGCTGCTGCTTTTGTTTGATCTGCTTGCTGCTTTTGGGTTTCACAGTGCATCTGGATTGTACCTTCTGGTTCCAGATGGAGGTCTGTTTGACTCTGGGTGGTCAGTAAGTTTGTTTTTCCTTGTCCTTGGGAACTTGGTTGGTCCTGAAGAGCACCTCCAGATTGGGAAGGCCAGGCCCTGCTGTGTTTGGAGTGTGGGGTCCAGGAACATTCTTGAGTGTCAGAGGAACAGTTCTATCCACTCCACAGTATTCCTGCCTCTGGAGCGCCATCCCTGTTGGGAGCAGCCCTAATTCCTGGCAGATGGGTAGCTAACAGTTTTGGAGAAGGATGCCTTATTTTTTGTTTTGTTTGTCTCAGCTATGTTGGCTGACAATAATTGCACCTGCCTCCTGATGCTCTTGTGTCTGTTCTGACTGCTGTTTCCCTCACAATTACAACAATCAGCATTGCAGTTTACCCTTTGTCCCCAGCCTGTTTTGTTCTCTGTTAACCTTGGTTTTTTTCTTTTTTCGTTTTAATGTTGTGAGAGGGAGAGGGGGTGGATAACTGAGTAAATTACTCTGCCATCGTCTGAAATAAATACTGTTGAAAGTTAGTTCTCAAAGCAAGATCCCACTTTATTCACAGAAGGAAAAGCAAACTGGGCTGATGGATCTTTGATGTCTTGTAAAGCTTTTTTCCAGCTCAACAAGTTTTCAGAGAATTTAGAGTTCAGTGTTGGTGGATCTTCTTGAAAATTGATTAAATGTGTGCAGTGATTTTTGTTGGCCATGAGATGTTTTAATCTGTAATCTTTCCAGTGTTGATGTGACAGTGAAATGATTTCTCAGAACCAGGTCCAAAGTCTGTTTGATGTTACTGATGCAGTGTGGGATGTGTCCTGGTTTCAGAGATGTTAAAATATGAGGGCAAGGGGCCAGCATGGTAGCTCAGCATGCTGATCCTCTGACTGCCAGCACCGGCGTCCCATAAGGGCTTGTGTCCCCACTGCTCTGCTCCTGTTCCAGCTCTCTGTTTATGTCCTAGAAAAGTAGTAGGGAATGGTCCGAAGCCTTGGGAACCTACAGTCCACATAGATACCTGGAAGAGGCTCCTGGCTTCTGATGGGCTCAGTCAGCTCCGGTTGTTATAGCCATTTGGGGAGTGTGCCAGTTGGCAGAAGATCTCTGTGTGTCTCTCCTCCTCTCTGTAAATCTGAATTTTCAGTAAATAAAAAATATTTAAATAAATACTTTTAAAAAATTTTGAGGGGAGAAAAAGAAGTCTGATAGTTCACATACAGTTCTATAACTGGTCACAGTTCCCTCATTCTCATCAGTTGATATCTGGTTATAAAGACAAATTTAGTTTCTCTCCTGTGTGTGTTTCATATAATTTTTGTTTGAAATTTAAGTGGAGTTAGTAATTTTTCTTTATTTATTGAAAGGTAGATTTACAGAGAAGAAGATCTTTCGTCTGCTGGTTTACTCCCCAAGTAGCTGCAACAGCTGGAGCTGAGCTGAAGCAAAGCTGGGAGCCAAGAGCCTCTTCCATGTCTCCCACATGGGTGCAAGGTCCCAAGGCTTTGGTCTGTGCTTGACTACTTTCTCATATCACAAGCAGGGAGCTGAATGGGACGTGGAGCAGTAGGGACATGAACTGGCACCCTTATGGGATCCCGGTGATTGCAAGGCAAGGAGTTAGGCCATCGCACTGGGCCTTTGAAATTGTTTTTTCATGGAAACATTTTAAAAGTAAATGTCAGGGGCCGATGTGTCATAACAAGTTGGGTCACTGCCTGCTGCACCAGCATCCCATATGGATACCAGTTTAAGTCCTTGCTGCTCCACTTCTTATGCAGCTTCTTGCCTAGTGCTCTTGGGAGAAGAGTGAAAAATGGCCCAAATGTTTGGTTCCTGCTCCCACCTGGGAGACCTGGATGAAACTCTTGGCTCCTGGCTTTGGACTGGCCCGGTCTTGTCACTTGTGACCTTTAGGAAATGAACCAATGAATGGAACATCTCCTTTTCACTCTATCTTTTAAGTAAATAAAACAGGTCATCTTAAAATATTTCAAAGGCTTTGAAAAGTAGTAGTTTAACTAGAAGTATTCAGATTGAAACTAAGCTCTCATGATTTTATCTTTTTAATTTTTTTATTTGAAAGGCAGATTTATGGAGAGAAGGAGAGGCTGATCCAAAGCCAGGAGTCAGGAGTTTCTTCTGGATTTCTCTTGTGGGTGCAGGATCCAAGAAGTTGAACTACTTTCTGCTAATTTCCTAGGCCACAAGCAGGGCAGTAGATCAGAAGTGGAATGACAGGGAGTAAAACTGGTGTATGTATGGGATGCTGGTGCAGCAGGCAGAGGCCTATGCCACAGTGTTACACCACAGCTTTGTCTGGCTCATCTTTTGCTTTTAATTCTCTGCAAGCACTTCTGGCCACTGTGTCTGAACTTTTTTGTTAGCAGAAAAGAGGTCCTGAAGGCTGGCAGTATACTTCAGCAGGTAAAGCAGCAACCTGTGGCCCAGCATCCTATTTGGGCAGTGGTTCCTTCCCATCCAGCTCCCTGCTAATGAGCTTGGGAAAGCAGCAAAGGATGGCCCAAATACTTGGGCACCTGCACCCTTGTGGATGCTCCTGATTCCCGGCTTTGGAACAGTCTAGATCCAGCTGTTATAGCCATTTGAGGAGTGATCCAAAGGATGGAAGATCTCTCTGTGTCTTCCTCCCTCTCTCTCTGTCTCTTCCTCCCCCCCTGCTGTGGGTTGCTAGATGTTTAATTAGCTAGGTTTATTAATGTTTTGTTTTACCCATGTTAGTGTTAAAGTGGTATTCAATTTGTTTTTGGACAGTAATTTTAAAAATTTACATAAAATGTCTATAATACTCCATTTAAAAATGGAAACAGCAAGTTGAATCTCAGGAGACAGTATGTGGAACGTTTTCCTTTCAGATTCTAGAAGAAGCAACTGAAGAAGAAACAGCTCTGCATAATCGGATCATGCCTACTGTGGTGCGTCCTCCCAAACAGCTGCTCCCTGAGCCCACGCCTTCAGGGGACCAGGAAATGGTAGGAAGTCATGGATAATGCCGTTGATGCTGTCACTTCGATTTGTCATTTTGAAATGTGACTGTAAGAGGAAGGTGCATGTCCTGTTTAACTCTATCACAGATATGTTTTAACTGCAGTTATCTGAAAGTACACAATTCTGTTTTATCACTGGCATTAGGAGAATTTAAAAATGTGTTCCCCTTTGTTTAATTTAGTACTTAACATTTTTGAAATATCAGAACATTGGAGATGTTCAAAAACACAGTTTTTTAAAGTAGGAGGTAGTAGAAAAATGAATCATAACTTTGAAACAATCGATTCTTTGAAATTTTCCAAATAAAGTTTTGTGAATACTTATTAAGATTTTCGTAACTTGTGTATGTTACTGGGTTTGGTCTAAATGAATTCTCTTTTGTTTTATTTATTTTTAGGAGCTGTTTGAACTTCCAGTAAGTGAAGAAAAGTTACTTGTAGCCCAGTGGTTTTTTTTTTTAAATTGAAGATAATAAATTATTTGTGTAACTTTCAAAATTCTGTAGGCTGTTTATGAAATAGGAATTGTTCGCCAGTTCCCATTTTCTTCTGCTTTGCAACGTATGAGTGTGGTGGCACGGGTGCTTGGAGACAAGAGAATGGATGCATACATGAAGGGAGCCCCTGAGGTTGTGGCCAGTCTCTGTAAAGCTGAAACAGGTAAGGAGATAGCCTGGCTTTGGACAAGATCTTGGTGTTTATAGAGCTTTTGTATTAAGCAGTCTAAATTTCTAACAATGAAATTTTTCTTTTCTTTTAAAAAGTTCCTGTTGATTTTGAAAAAGTTTTAGAAGAGTACACTAAACAGGGCTTCCGTGTTATTGCTCTTGCACACAGAAAATTAGAATCAAAACTGACATGGCATAAAGTACAGAATATTAACAGGTAAGATTGAATGGCTTTCCTACTGTCTTTCCAAGAATGTGTTGTTTATGTTTATATAAGTATGTGCAACAGTTTGCATATAGTTGGTTATTTACTAAATGTTTTGGGAATGTTTGCAAATATATATAATGTAGTATTATTTTAGGTGATTAAGATAAAGAGTATTTATTTTCTCTGATTTCTTTTTATTCTATACTGACTATTTGACTATGTTTGCTAATGCTGTTATATCCTTGTATGTATTTCCTTACAACTTTTCCAAACATTTTTGGTTTGTTTTTTAACTATTGAGTGCCTACGATGTGTCAGACCTACTGCAGGAACAGTAAACAATTCTGCAGTTCCTTTTCCCCACGTGATCTCATGATCTCGCCATGAGTCACACAAGCAGTAGGCTTCTGAACCAGCTCTCTGCAACTCTACCTGGAGTCAGTTGGTTTTACTGATTCCCTGCTTCCTTGCTTATGTAAGTAGCAGGTTTTGAAAACACTCAGGGATTGTCACTGGATTGTCATTTGGTTGCAGCTACTGTAAATGGACTTACCCTTTGAGAATAGCATTTTTGGGGCATTTAGTGGTATGCCCTAGCATTTTTTTTTTTTTTTTAAGCACAAATGACCTATCTACTGATTTACCTAATTTGGACATTTTTGGGAAAGATTCACAGTGCTTTTTTCTAAACATCTCTAGCAGGTGCTCTGCCAAAACCTGGGCATGGTTGTGTACCACAGATGTATACTTTCTATTCTAATTCTTACAAAAGATACATTGGTTTCTTCTCTTTGCTAGTTTCCTCTTTTTAAAAACTGGAATACCAGGAGTTCCTGAGCCTGGCTTCCTCATATATCCTTCCACATCTTTGGACAGGCTCATCTCTGCCCAGAATACCTTATATTTTTCTGTCAACTTTCTTCCCCTACCATCCTGCTCCAGCCCTTCCCCCATTCTCATCCTTCAGCCACGTTTTCTGCTTTCACTCTGTCTTGCAGGAATGGGTTTGAGCATTTCTCTTATAGCCTAAGACCTTTTATGTCTTGAATAGTTTACTGTTAATTAATTACAAAGTAAGATTTCCATGACTATATCATTCACCAGAGAGGTAGAAAACCAGCGGAAGCCAGCAATTAGTACCTGTAGGAAAGTGGCTCAATATTTTGGACTTTAGTAGTTTCACAGGAATCTAATGCAATTTCAGGCTTCAAGACATTTTTTTTTTCCCCAAGACTTTTTAAAAACAGATTTATTTATTTTTATTGGAAAGACAGATATACAGATAGAAATAGAGAAAGATCTTTGTATGCTGGTTCACTCCCCAAATAGCCACAACAATGTGTCTCCTTGGGGTGCCAAGTCCCAAGGACTTGGGCCATTTTCCAGTGCTTTCCCAGAGCACAAGCAGGGAGCTGGATGGGAAGTGGAACTGCTGGGATTAGAACCGGTACCCATATGGGATCTCAGTGCTGGCAGACAGAGTAGCTGATTAGGCCATCACACTAGCTTTTCAGAGAACTTTTATTGCTTAGAAAAATATGCTTTATCATCCATATCCTTTATATCAGATTGCCTAAATATTCTTTAATATATTTATTGTCCATTGTTACATATTTTTAGAGATTTTTAGGCTTAATAAATGTGTGCTTCAAGTACCACTATTACTGAATTTTAATGTAAAAAAATCATTTTAATTCTGAGTCTGGAAATCTCTTCCCAAACTTCAAACCCTCTTTCCCTACTGAAAGAAAACTACTCCTGTAACACAGTTTTAATAGCTTGAGTTTTCTCAAGAAGAATGTGACTGCCCTTAAACAGACTTCATCTCCATTGTAAGGCTAAGGCCCATGTGCTTTTTGTAGGCATCTCTTGGGTTGCATGTATGTTACTCTGTGAAAGTGCACCTGGAGGACGAAGCTCATGTCTTCTGTCTGTCCTTCCAGTGACTACCACAGTCAGCACTTGGTGCATAGTGGATGTTGGACTGTGTTGACAGTAGCGTCTTGGTAGCTGTGCATTGCTTGTTTGTCTTCTAAAGAGCTCCTCTCTGGGTTCCTGAGTGAGATTTCTTTCTACTGATCACATTTCTAAGAGCAAGAATTAGAGAATTAATCAAGGACTTGACAGTGAATCCCCTTTAACTGTATTGAATGTGCTTATGATATACAGTTACTTTAAGTTAGAATATTTTGTTTGAAGGATAATGAAACGTAGATCTGTGCTTTTGTGGTTTTTGGATGGGATACAGGATGCGTGAATTCCTGAGTAGCAGCAGTTTAGTGTTTACAGAATCATACACTTCCAAATGACCCTTATGTTTAATGTCTCAAAGGTTAAAATTTAATGTCAAAAATCCACTTCTTCGGAATTGTTTTTCTCCTTTTAAATTTTTGAGATACTGAAGTCATAAATGCACACATGGTTTACTCAGCTTATAAAACATTTTAATATATAATTTATAGATATTTTCAATTGCTTTCTCAGCATAAAGAGAACAGTGCTTGTTCTCATGACTAAACCATTATGTGTTAAAACTTCTTTTTCTGCAGAGATGCCATTGAAAACAACATGGATTTTATGGGATTAATTATAATGCAGAACAAATTAAAGCAAGAAACCCCTGCAGTACTTGAAGATTTGCATAAAGCCAACATTCGCACAGTCATGGTCACAGGTTAGACTCTACAAAAGAACACAGATAAAAAAAACCCAGTGTGACTCTTAGAGCCCAAGTTCTGTGATGTGCAGGAGTGATTAGTTAGTAATTAAAGCGTCTTAGTGGCTATTTCCTGTGTTGTCCTGTTTGAGCTCTGAGTGCTTGGCCTGACTATGAGACTGTATTATTCTTTTTGAGATTTAAGAAAATCTGTTTATAGAAAATTCAGTAAAATAGTGAAGGGCACACTATAAAAATTTAAATTTTGCTCCTTTTTATTCTTTAATCATGTGTTATGGATGCTTGTAGATTTGTGTTCTCCATTAGAAATAAGAGTCTCGGATTAGGAATATGCCTTATTTATGCATTTGGATCCTTTATTCGTTTGTAGAACTGCCATGTACACAATTTATGATTAACCAGTAATTTGCTAGAATTACATTTATATAAGCATACAGTTACCTTGGCTTGAACTGATAATAAAATATTTTTTTGTTTGGTTATTGTAGCTATGATATCTCCTAGTTTTGTTTAAAGATATCTAATGTACGAGCTAGTGTTATGGTACAGCAAGTAAACCACCATGTGCAGTGCCAGGCGTCCATGCGGATACTATGTCCCAGCTGTTCTACTTCCAGTTGAGCTCCCTGCTAGTGGCTTGGGAAAAGCATACACTGTGGCGCAAGTGTTTGTGCCTCGTCCACCCACATGGGAGACCCATTAAACCTTCTGGCTCTTGGCTTTGGTGTGGCTCACCTCCCAGAAAGAGTTTCTGTCCAGTTCTCCCACGTGGGTTGATAAGGGACCAAAGAATTGGGGCTTCTTCCCTTGCTTTCCTAGGCACATTAGCTGGAAGCTGGCTCCAGATGGAGCAGCTGGGTCTTAAATAGGTATCTCTCTTTGGGATGCTGCTATTGCAATTTGAGGTTTACACTGCTGCACCACAGTGCTGGCCCCTCTCCTGACATACTATTGATGTGAAATTACTTCTTGTCCTTAGTGGTATGAAACTGGCAACTGTTTTGTTTCTTTTCTCTTTCCTTTAGCTAATAAACTTACAATATATAGCTCCATATTGCTAAGTTTGTTGGCATCCATAAACTCTTAGTACTGGAGACCCCTTTGTCTCCAAGCACTTTCTGTCTGCATCTCTTTTCCTGCTGTGACAGAATATGGCCTTGTGAAGGCCGCAGGAAGAAACCGGTAGATATGGTGTGTGGGGATTGGAGGAAGAAGTGCCTTACCGTTCAATTGTAGTAGCTGTGGGGTCCCCCATTCATTTGTTTCTCTTTTATAATCTTGTCCTTGCTTTTCATGAATTCTTTCCTTCTCAAGACTGAGAAGTTGCCTTTCTTGCTTCTTTATAGTTCTGAAGTAGTTTTTTTTGTAGCTCTGGCTATTGTAATTCATCCTGCTGCGCTGTATGCACTGGTATTAGCACAGTGTACCACCCACTAACCCCAGAGTTATCTCCACGTGTGTTTCTTGAGCACCTGCTCTGTGTGTAGGTCCCTTCCAGGTGTTCTGTGGTACAACTAGCAGTGCATGACTGACAGAGTATTGTATTTCTCTTTAAAAGTATGGGTTGGAATGGTTATCTGTGTTTGTATTTTTGAGACCCTGTTGATAAATATTCCGATTTTGCTGCTTTTAAACTTCAAGGGTCAGGACTGTACATGATCCTTTCTGCCCAATCCGTTCCTGGGAGGAGTTGTTTGAGATTTGCATATTGCCATTTTTATTTAATGCATTTAAAATATTTTAAAAACTAGGTGACAACATGTTGACTGCTGTTTCCGTGGCCAGAGACTGTGGGATGATTCTACCTCAGGATAAAGTTATTATTGCTGAAGCATTACCTCCAAAGGATGGGAAGGTGGCCAAGATCAACTGGCATTATGCAGACTCGCTGCCCCAGGGCAGCAGCGTACCAGCCATCGACTCAGAGGTAACGTCAGGACGACTTGGTCTTTAGCAGCCTGCTTCTTGGAAGGGAATTTTCACAAATTAAAAATCAGGCATCACAGAATAGCAGAGCGAAAGCTAAATGCAAATAGAGGCTTCTGGAGGTAGGGATGAGTCAGCACTGAGACGAAGCCAGAAAACTCAGTGTTTAAAATTGAGATCCAGTGCTTCAAAGTGTGAGAATCCCAAATATTTATCCCATTTTAGAAGTAATTAGTGATAGATCATGCAGGTGTGTTGTTAAAACTCAGTTTTATCAATCATTTCAAATTGAAGTAATAGTTGATCTTAAGTTCTTATTTTTTTTCCCTTAGTAAACATTATAGCTAATTTAATGATTGAATTTTCTTTTACTTTGAATACATATTAAGTGTTTAATTTCTGGTATAAAGTGTCAAAATGAAATAAATTAGTTATGAAGAAGATGTAGGATTATGTTGCCTGGTCTGACTGCCTGAGCGTTGTTTCCGACTCTCTCACACACAGGTGATTCCCATTAAATTGGTTGATGATAGCTTGGAGGACCTGCAGTTGACTCGTTACCATTTTGCGATGAATGGCAAATCATTTTCTGTGATACTGGAGCATTTTCAAGACCTTGTACCTAAGGTAGGCTGTTTGGTATATGTAGACTTCTATGTAAATACATGGTGAACTGTATTTTTCAAAAATCCCTGTTTTTTTCCAGTTGATGTTGCATGGCACTGTGTTTGCTCGTATGGCACCTGATCAGAAAACACAATTGGTAGAAGCCCTGCAAAATGTAGAGTAAGTATTGGTGGATTATTTTGTTTCAAGGCCAGATAATTAATATTTCTCATGTATACACGTACACATACACACAGATGTTAGGGGGAGAGAACAACTATGAGAAGTGCCTTTTCAAAAAAGGCTCAGGTGTTTTTATTGAAGTACAGCAGCCACAATTCCTTCTTCCAATTAATTCCTCTGAAGTAGAATTCATTCATTCTGGTGTTGTATGTTGATAAAAGTGACTTTCTAGTTTTATTGAGTGTAGTGTTTCAAGATTTTAAAGGAGAATATTTATTGATAACCTTAACGGTTAAGTAAAAATGTACTGAAGATGAGGAAATTGTACTAAAAATGATTTGTGTGTAGTATGATGGAGCTAGAATAATCCCTGGTTATTTCACTGCAGGCTGTTCCTTGCAGAGCATCAAGTCTGATCTTTGTATTGGAAAGCTTGATCTGTCCACCAGGGGATTCCTTAATGATACAGTTAGAGAAATCGTAAGCTAAATATTGGATATTTTAAGAAATAAAAATCTTAAAATCATTTGTCTTTTAGTTACTTTGTTGGGATGTGCGGTGATGGAGCAAATGATTGTGGTGTAAGTATAGTTTCTTTGTCTTAACTTTTAGCTTAACTTTGTCTTAACTTTTAGCCTAAATCACATTCCTGAAACTTAACCATTTTTTTTGAAACCTGCAGGCTTTGAAGAGAGCACATGGAGGCATTTCTTTATCAGAACTCGAGGCTTCAGTGGCATCTCCTTTTACCTCCAAAACACCTAGTATTTCCTGTGTGCCAAACCTCATCAGGTAGTATAAATGAAGGATGTTCTCATATTTGGGTGTTGCTGTAATAATACAACAGGAAAAGTTATCATAGGAACGTGGATCTTCTTTTAGTGGGACATTAGCTCATCTGTGGTGTATCTCAGGAACAAATCACTGCTTCTCATTTCTTCTGCTTCATTTTGGTTTGGCTCTTTTGGTAGACTGGCACTTTGCTGTAGTGGTTGCATGTTGATGTGCACCTGTCAGGATACGTCAGTGTGATGTGGAGAAGCAGTTATAGATGCCTTCTTTCACATGCCAGTGTTTCTCTTCACAGGGAAGGCCGTGCTGCTTTGATGACTTCCTTCTGTGTGTTTAAGTTCATGGCTCTCTACAGCATTATCCAGTACTTCAGTGTTACTCTCCTGTACTCCGTGAGTACTGACATTGGGTGGCTAGGACATTGAGCAGATGTGGTTGATCTTGAATGCATCTGTTAGTAATGGAATTTATGTGAGCTGTATCTGTGAATTTACTTTCATTTACTTTAGTTTGAGTAGCATATTGATAATCTCATGAAGCTGATAGCATTTTTTTTAAAAGCAGATAACTGTGATTCAAGCTTTATGAATAAAAGATGGTTGTATTCTTTCTTGCCATTAGTACAGAGTGGCGTCTTTCATTAGAACCTATCGAAATGCTGAATTGTGGCGTTCTTTACGAGTATATACTCGTAAAGAAAAGGGCAGAATAAGGACAGTTGTTTCAGCAATAATGTAAAGAAGTTGATGCTTTTGGAGGAAAAGCATACAGAGGTGTTCTTAGGTGTTTGTGCTGAGTTTTGTAGTGAAACTAGCATCTCACTGTAGATTTTTCTCTTAGGTGAACATTAGTGATATATCCTAGAGAATTTTTGTGAATCTATCCCTTTTTACTATTTGTAGAAAATATCAGAAGGGATGGTGTTAAATATTAAGGAAGCTTCAAGATACTAATTTTGGACAGTAATGAATATTGTGAGTAAAAGTTTGTGCTTGCTTTTTGCCCAAAAACTCTTCCAAGGATTTTATTGAATAAATTTTAAGGATTTTTTTTAAGCTAACATATTATATAAGATGTTTGTAAATATGTTATATTTAACTTATAGGCAAAAGTATTTCAGCTTTTAAACAGGTCCAAATGATGTTTTGAAATTGTGATTAAAGGGGTTGGAGGCTAAAATATGGGGACAGTGCTACATAAATAGTTCCTGAAAATAACTGTGTTTTAAAATTACTTTTGTAGATTCTGAGTAACCTAGGAGACTTCCAGTTTCTTTTCATTGATCTGGCAATCATTTTGGTAGTGGTATTTACAAGTAAGCATTTTCCCTTTTTATTGATTTTGACATGAAATTCTGATGTAATTTATTAAACATTTGTAAAATCAGCTGTTGAAACAGAACTTATCCCATTCCACATTCTTTGTTAATGTGTTATTTTACTAGTCCTTGTTTCTGTATTTTTTCCGAAATACTTAAAAGCAGGTTTTGAGTGCTCATGCCCCTTTGCTCCTGCATATTTGAGTATATATTTCCTAAAGGCAAAGCCATTCTCTTAAATAACTAAATATAGTTATGATAATCAGGAAATATAACATTTCTATGACATTGTATAATCTAAAGTATGTATTCAGGTTTTATTATTTGTCCTAATAATGTCTGTTTATCCCCAATCCCCTAGGTTAGAACAAGGGTTTATGTCAGGCCCATGAAGTTCAGGTAGTTACCATGTTGCATCATTTCTCAGTCTTTGGGCATATTTATAAGATAGCATAGGCCAGTGAATGTAGTTTATCTGATTTCCTTTCATTAAATTCAGGCTGTGGATGTTTGGTTAGAGTAATGCAGAACTGGTGCTGTGTCCCTGTAGACATGTTGTGCAGGAGGAACAAGGTGTTGATTTGTTCCAGTATTGGTGATACTAACATCAAAATCAAGAATGATAGTAATGGGATATGACCCACTGAATGAAATAAAAATCAATAAATCCGTAATGCAGGTAAATCATTTAGAGAGACAAGAAAACTCTACAGTACTGACTCACTGGAAGGAGTCTGGGGGAGAGACAGTGTCCTTGTTGGCCTTTGAGGGGAGCTGCTCTTGTGCAGTGTAGGATGCTTGGCAGCGTGTCCATGTGTACCCTGTCTAGACCTCTGGAACACTCTCCAAGCTTTGACAGATGAACATATTCAAGATACTGCCAGATTGATAGCCTCCAGGTTAGACAGTCCTTAGTAGACGACAAAACTACTGAATGGAACTTTGATGAGGAGTAGGCTGTTAGCACAGACTCAGAATATCTTTTTATAAGTTATTAATTGGGAAAAATGGAACCTTTCCAGTGAAAAACTCAGTGGGCACCACCTTAGTAAGGGATCAAAGTATGTTTATTTTGTTGGTAGCATATTTACTTTGCTCCAGATCTTTGCTAATGGTAATGTCTTTTTTAGGAGAAAGAAATAACATAGTATTCTAGCTGTAGCTTTATAATTCAGTTCTCACAAAAATAATTGGCTCTTAAATATAATTGAGTGCTGATAAATGTTTTAATATTTATGCTTTTATTTAGTGTTTTTGTTTGTACTAGTATTTCATTTGAATTTCCATGGCAATGTGAGGGTTACTCCTGAAGCATTTTGGAATTGTCTAAGTTGTTTACATTTACAGATTATTTACATATATGTAAATACATGTCTTCTTTGGAGACATTTGAAAACATTGTTAGGCAAAGGTAACATTTTTTTTAAGTGGGTCTGACTATGCCTTGTATAGTGACAGATTAATTTACATATGAAACTTTTTCTTTTGAATGCAGTGAGTTTAAATCCTGCTTGGAAGGAACTTGTGGCGCAAAGACCACCTTCCGGTCTCATATCTGGGGCCCTACTCTTCTCCGTTTTGTCTCAGATCATTATCTGCATTGGATTTCAGTCTTTGGGATTTTTTTGGGTTAAGCAGCAACCGTGGTATAAAGTGTGGCATCCGCATTCAGAGTAAGTTGAACAATCCATGTGCAAATCAGTGTGTGAATGTCTAGGACTTTAAATCAAGCTGCATGTCAACCTCAATATAAACACAAATACTTTGGCCTGTAAACACTTTGTGTGATGGTAATTCCAATGTAGTAATCTATTTACTGCTGCTAGCAGCACAGTGCCATACATTGTGTAAGATACAGAGAAAAAGTGTTTTTTTTCTCCTCACAGGTGTGATTTAGAGCTGAAGGGCCACACCGGGTGGTGGGGTTTTTACTGGCACAGTCCCAAGATGGCACAGGATGTCCAGTGACCAGATAAAGATCTCACAAGAGTCTTCTGCAAAGTGGCTTCTGTAGCTGACTCACCTCAGGCCCTTTCTTCATTTCCTTCAGTGCCTTGATTTTCTAAGCTGTAAAATGAAGAAGTTTGAGTTAATTACTAGGGTCTCTTCTAAATCCCCAGTATTTTTTACTTTCTACCCCTTATTTAGGAAATAGCATTTTGAAACAACATCTTTTTTTAAGATGCTATTTTTATGTTTATTTGTTTATGTATAACACTTCAGATTATAACACAAATTATAACATTTAATTAATGTAATTTTGTTGAAGATAATTTTAAGATGCTAATGTTTTAGTTTGAAAGGAAGTATCTGTATTTGATATTTTTAGAAATATTTTTAAAAGTTAACATTTCTGTACATGCAAAGAGGGCTGGAGAAAGGAAAGGTAGAGTTGTTGAGAATTTTTCCAGAGCTCCCTATCCCTTGTTACCATGTATCTGTAGTGATTCACATCTCAGGCATGGATCCTCATACTCGGTTCTGTATACACTCAGCAGAGCTGCCCACTTGGAAGGGAAAGGCGGGAGCACTCATGCTGGAGAATGTCGAGGGTGTCTCAGTGCCAGGGGCTCACTAGTCATGCTCACAACCCAACCTCCTCAGGTCCCTTTGTAGCTCGGAGGTGGAGCAGGTGTGCCCATGTTGACAGCTGGGGAAAATGGTCGACCTTGGTAACATTACTCCCCAAATACAGAGTGCTTGTTAAATATCTTGGTAACTGATTAGATGGTCTGACTAAAAGGAAAAATCCTTAATGATTCTCTACCTGGTCAATATTTCGTGTTTGTTGTTGGGCCTTCTGCTATAAATAGCATTTTATTTCTATTTTTTTGAGGCAGTTAAGGTGAAAGTGATCTCTTTGAAATACATATTGTGTTTACTAATACAAAAACTTTGTGTGTTTTAGTGCCTGTAATACAACAAGAAGCCTATATTGGAATTCTTCACATTTAGACAATGAAACTGAACTTGATACACGTAATATACAAAATTATGAAAATACCACAGTGTTTTTTATCTCCAGTTTTCAGTACCTCATCGTGGCAGTTGCCTTCTCAAAAGGAAAACCCTTCAGGCAGCCTTGCTACAAGAATTGTAAGTTTGGTATTGATTGTGGTTTCTGCCATCCCCCCTTCCTTTAGTGATACTGAAGGAGAGTTGTACCTGTCCTTCCAGAGAAAAGCAGATCTTTACAGATGAATGAGCCCACCTAGTTATGTAGGGATTTGCTGCCTTGTCTTTCATGGGAGTTTCTTACCCTAACTTTGAAATGAAAGCCACCAGTGCTGCTTTCCCATGTCCTGTTGCTGCTTCTGGCACGTACGTGGTTTCTGCAGGCTACTGTAGGGGGAGAAAGCAGGCTCGGCCCTGCAGTCGGTGGCTGTGGTACTCCTTCTGAGAGGTGTGGGCAGCACTGACTGGCCTGTTTCGGACAGCGGCCGTGTCCGTGCTCATCGCTGGAGTCCTTGTGCGGTGCTGTGGAACAGAAGCTTGGGACCGTGTGGACCCATCTGCTTATGGCGATAAGACACAGCAATTTATAGACTTCTGTAGTGTCTTGCAGTGAATAGCAGCTGGTTTTGGACTGTAGCTGTGACAGGATGTCAGTGTTCCGGGTGGGAAATGTCAGGTCATGGACTTAGTGTGTCACTAGCATAACAGATTCCAATCTCTATCTTTTGTTGCAGTTCGGGAAGCAATTTTGTTTAACTGGTCTTACTACTTTTTGCTACATTTATTATTTAGTTATGTATTCCCATATAACTGTACTAATAACTATATTACTGAGAACTATATTAAAAGCATATTGTAAGGTAAAAAGCCTTCCACAGGAGGCTGTCACGTTTTTCAAAGTTACGTGTATTCATTGAAAGAGAAGCCAAAAGAAGGAGAGCCTTCATCTGTTGGTTCATTCTTCAAATGACCCCAGCAGCCGGGGCAGGCAGGCTGACACCAGGAGCCTGGGATCTCATCTGAGTCTCCCATGCGGGTGGCAGGGACTCGGGTAGTCATCATCTTCTGCCCCCCCACGTGCATTCACAGGAAGTTAGATCAGAATCAGAGTGGCCAGGACTGGATCTCAGACACTCCAATACCGGACACAGGTGTCCCAGGTAGTAATCTAATGCACAATACTTTCCCCATCATTGTACCTCAGAGAGGATTTCATAACTGAAGTTTAATAGCTGTAAAGTGAATCTAATAGTTTAAGTTGGGGTGAATGTTTCATGTAGTTTTAGGTACCACACCTGCGTCCGAGAGCCTGATTCGAGTCCTGGCTCTGCTCCATGTTCCGAGATTCCTGCTAATGCACATCTGGGGATGCAGCAGTGACGGCTCAGGTAGTTGAATGTCTGCTGCCCTCTTGGGACACAAGGTTAAGACTCTAGCTCCTAGCTTTGGCCTGGCCCAACCTAGCACAAGGCATTTAGAGAGTCGTTCTGCTAGAGGGAGCTCTCTTAGTGTTCGTTCAAATAAAGTAAAAACAATAATTTTTTTTTTCCTTTTTTAACTTTAAGGGACAGCATTGTGGCACAGTGGGTTAAACCACAGTCTCTGCAATGCTGGAATTCCATGTGGGATACTGGTTCAAGTCCTAGCTGCGCTGTTGCTATTCCAGTTCCCTGCTCATGGGCCCCGGAAGGCAGTGGGGATAGCTCAACTGTATGGACCCCCAATGTCCCATGGGAGACCTGGATGGAGTTCCTAGTATCTGCTTTCTCCCAGCCCTAGCCAGTGTGACCATTTAGGGACTGAACCAGTGGGTAGATCATCTCCCTGTCTCCCCATCTCCCTTTCTCTCTCTCACTGTACCAAATAAATAGATAAAAAAAAATAATTTGTGAATAACATTTAAAATAGTTTTAAAAAGAGAAACAAAATCAATAGGTATGCTTTTTTAAAAAAATAGGTACGTTTTTAAAAAATTATCAGAGGTGGAGCTGCAGAGAGAGAATGGCACAGGTAGACAGGGTTTGCACCTGCTAGTTCAGTACCCTAATACCTGTGACATCAGAAACTGTGCAAGCCAGGAATGGGAACTCAGTCCACATCTCCCTCCTAGGTGACAGGAAGCTAATGATGTGTAGCATCAGTTGTACTTCCCAGGGTCTGCGTCAGTAGGAAGTTGGAGTCAGAGGTAGAGCTGGGAGCTGAGCCCAGGACCTCTGATAATGGAACTCAGACGTCTGTTGATCCGTGTCTTTACCACTAGGCCACATACTTGTTCCATGGTAACTTGAAGCTTACGATTAGGGGTCAGATGTGCCTGTTTTTTTGGGGTGGGAGCACAACAGGAAAGAGACATTAGGGAAGAATTTTCTGTGTATTTCTTAGGTAAGGTTTTATTTGTCACTTACTGAGGAGAGTATCAAACCAGCTCTTGAGGATGCCTATCCTGGAGCTGTATTCCATCCAGAGGATCTGGTGTCATGTCTGTGTTGCCATAAGCTGGATCTCATTGTTTTGAGTTCACATATTGCTTTACCATTTGAGGTCTGAAAAATTGCTTTCCTTTGGGATTTTCATATCTGCTTTCTTTGGGTAAAAGAATTTTACTCTGAATACCTTATTTATGTTCATGTAATTTTATGTATAAATTGATGTGAAACTAATTTTTAACTTGGGGAACATTTCTCCCCTGGCCCACAGTCACTAACAGAGAATTTGTTTTGATAATTGTCTTCTGGTACAGAGTAAAGTTCCTCAGTGATTGCTTGGAGGAGTCGCTGCAGCCGAGAGCCAGCTGGTAGACTCTCGTAATTATTCCATTCTTGGTTGAGACAGTTACTAATTTTTAAAATTATGTGCAGTTACATTAATCTGCCAGCCATCTACCTCTCAACTGTTAGAATCTGTTTTCTGATTCTCTCTGCCTGTACATCAACCTGTTCGTCACATGGTGCCTTTTTTTGAATAATATCTCTTTTTAATTTTTATTTTAGATTTCCAGAAGTAAGATCAAGGGTAGGTGTGTGGGAGGAACATGAAATTTGAGAAACACTGTTTAGGTAGATGGAAGAGGTTTGTTTATGAACCTAATAAATTTCTCACAATACAATACACCTGGGCCAGGAGCTAGATCCTATTTTGCTGTAGTTGTAAATGTACAGTTGAGGTTGAAAAATATTTTATGTATGAGAAACTTGTTGAAATAGAGCTCTTTTTTTATATCTGTGTCTCTGGCATTTGTATTCTGATCATTTCTTTCTTCCTTTTACTGACTTATCTGTCTTCTACCTGGCAAGTTTCAAACACTTTTATGATTACTTCAATGACTAGCTTATTTTAATTACTACTACATTTGTGAAATCGTTTCATTTCCTCTTTGCTATGTAGTAGAATTTTTTTTTTTTTTTAAATTTCACATCTTCTTTAAGTTTTTCAGCATTCTTTTTTTTTTTTTTAAAGATTTATTTTTATTATTTTTTCATTGGAAAGGTGGATATACAGAGAGGAGAGACAGAGAGGAAGATCTTCCGTCCGATGATTCACTCCCCAAGTGAGCGCAACGGGCCGATGCTATGCCGATCCGAAGCCAGGAGCCTCTTCCGGGTCTCCCACGCGGGTGCAGGTTCCCAAAGCCTTGGGCCGTCCTCGACTGCTTTCCCGGGCCACAGGCAGGGAGCTGGAAGGGAAGCGGGGCTGCCGGGATTAGAACCGGCGCCCATATGGGATCCCGGGCGTGCAAGGCGAGGACCTTTAACCACTTGCGCCACCGCGCCGGGGCCTGCTATGTAGTAGAATTTTAAAAAGCAAAAGTTTAGAAACAATTACTTTTTACCCAATTTGTGTTCCCCCCAGTTTTTTTTTTTTCCATTTGGTTAGAGGCACATGGTAGAATAGTTTTTCCATTTAGGTGTAAATGTTAGTATTACTTTCTATCTAAACTGCTAGACTTATGCCTGTGTATACACCCACACACACACATATGTATTTGTACATGCACACGTATATCTAGCGTGGTTATAGAACAATAAATAGTGGCTTATATAGTTTTGAACTGACATATTATCAGTTTATAGTTACTTCTGGGACTCCCCCATTGAAAGATAGCATCGAGATCCTTCATTATCAGTCAGTCAAAGGGATATTAAGTTCTTTACCCTGTCTGGAGATGCCTGTAACAAGATTTGTTACATGTAGTTTTTCTTTGACTTCAAATGGGACCTTCTAAATAAACATCAACTCAATGCAAAATAAGTTTATATACATGCATGCATATTTGTGTTTGACATAATGTTATGAGCAGGGAGTCTGATTTTCTGCCAGGAACCTCAAAGGCTGCTCAGTGGGTTTGCCATTGCCAGCGGTCACGCCAGGCCACAGGTCAGCTCACCTTTAACAGAGTAGCTTGCACTCATTCTCTTGCCTTTTGCCTAAACATTTTCTGTGAAAGTGTTTTCAGAATAAAATCACTGAGAAATGGGATTCAGTTGCCAGTATATGTTTAATCAACTTTGAATACCTTTATTTAGAATGATGACATACCCAGTACAGAAAATGTTATTCATCATTTTTACAGTCAACAATAATGTCATTTTTTGACACGTTGGGTTGTGTTTTGAGTGATAATCTCAGTTTGTCACACAAAGTAATCTCTGACCTGTGAAGTGTGTCTTGGCTTGATCATGAAGTTAGCTGTCAGGCACCATGCACACAAATGTCAATAAAAGTCTCTCATTTTTAAAGTGTTGGGTTATCCTCTGAAATACATAGAACTTAGCTGGCTTTCTGTATTTATCACTGTCACATTGCACACATACAAGAACTGCTTCTTATTCCAGGAAATAACAACAAGGCTTTCTGCTCCCTCAAGTGACATAGAAATATTAAACAACAGATTTAGGCTCAGCAGTATTCCGGTTGTTATTGATGCTTGCTTATTTAAAAGAACTTCCTAATTTAATTTTATTTTTCTTTTCCAGATTTTTTTGTTATATCTGTGATTATGTTATATGTTTTCATATTATTCATCATGTTGCATCCAGTGGCCTCTGTTGACCAGGTTCTTCAGGTAAGACCTCTTGCTGTTCACTGCTGCTTATCTGGTGGCTGAAAGTGACTGGAGTGGCGGGCATAAGACAGCAACGGAAGTGATGTCTCAGCATTACACTCAGCTTAAACCAAATGAGGATCCTGCCTCTTATTTAAGAGCTGAAACTGCAGGCCTGCTTTGTGCTTTTTACCTTACTGGGGAAAGAGACTCAGCTAGCTACATTTTTTCTTCTAGGATCTATTCTTTCTAGTTTTCTAAGATCTACTCTAAAAGTAATGAACATAATTAAAATAGCCTCTTTTATTGATACCTGTGTTTCTTCTTCTGGTTCCATTTTTCTCTGTCTATGAAAAAAATGCCCCTGGGTCTTTGAACACACACAAAAAAATGTCGCTTCTGGTATCTGGTTTGTTTTGTACCAGCCTACTTCTTGAGTGGGTCCTGTGTACTGTCTGTTTGCTGGCCTGGAGTTCTGCCCTCTCCTCACTAAAAAATCTCTGGCTGCTATAGTAGTTGGTTTATATACAAAAGAATAGACAGGTATAGATGTGTTGTTAAGCACAGTAATCAGAAAATAGTGATGGTCCCATGGATTCATTACCGGTCAGTAAGGCACTCTGTTAAGGATAGTCCAAAAATTTTATGGAAAATAAAGTTAACTGATAATATGAACTTGCCATGTACTTTTTGAAGACTCTGTCTCCATAAGCCTATGTGTATGAAGTCATAAATTGTTCTGCCTGTGAAATTTATGAAAGTGGTACCTGGTTCTGTACCTTATTCTGTAATTTGCTTGTCACAAAATCAGTTTTTTCATAAGATGGTCCATGTTGATACATGCATTTGCTTTACCCTGCCCTAGGTATTATTGCATTATAGGAATATATACACAAATGCCTTCCCAGTGTGATTTTTTTCCCACTCTGTGTTGGTAAATAATCTTTTCCTGATTAACTATGCTGCTGTGAATATTCTTTCATATGTCTCTAAGTGCATAGGGAATTTAACAACTGCAGTGAAACCTTCCAGGTCTGTCTGCTGTAAGCATGGCTGTGTGTCAGCAGTTGTGAAGAAGAATGTTAGTGATAGTCTCCCTGTGACCAGTCCTGTCCTTTTTAATTCATTCGGAGAAAGGGTTCATCTGATTGAACAGACACATGAAGAGAGAGAGAGAGAAATGGTTGGTGGATCTCCATCTGCTGGGCTGTGGGGTTGCAAGGGGTGTATTAACTGAGCCAAATGCCTACCCTTTAGTATAATTTTGAGCATTTGCTCTTCAGCTATCTAAAATGTGGCCGATTGTCTCCCAAAGTGATTGTGTCAATTTCTGCTTGTATTGGTGTGTAGGATCCTGTTGTTATCATCATTATTGTCAGTATTTATCTGCTGACTATAAAATGTTGTATTGTGATTTTTTATTTGCTCCTGGGTTCTGTATGTTTTCATGTTTATCTGCATTTTGTTCCCTGTGAATTTTACCTATTTTTTTCATACTAGGATGTTGTCATTTTCTTAGTTGAGAAGTTTCCAGTGTATCTGTGACTATATGCATATTTATGTTCTCCCAGTTGGTGGTTTTTTTATTTTGTTTTATAGTAATATTTTTTAAAAGCAGATTTATAATTTTGCAGTAGTCAAATATAATTTGTTTCTTATGTCCAATTTTCCTTATGTTTAGCAGGCATGTTTATTTCAAGGTTATAAAGATAGTCTCCTATCATACCTAGTAGGATTCATTTTAAGTATTGCGTTTGAGGTGGGTATGCACTTTCTGCTGCTTTTCTCCAGGTATTAGGCACTTGTTGGCCTCAACATTATGTACTCATTAGTCCAACCTTTTTCCAACTTTGCTTCATTGTACCTCTGTTCTGCAAGCGTTTTCTGCACACTGTAAGATGGTATAGGCAGGGACTCTGCATTTTGTACCATAGTCTATGCTAACTTCCAATATATAGTTGGACAGGACTCTGCCCCACCTCATTGTTGCTCATCACAGTCTCTTTAGGTGTTCTTAAGCTTTTACCTCTGAACTTGAAGCTTACCTTTTTAAGTAACAGAAAAAGCCCTCTTAAATTTATAGCATAAAATACCAAGTTTTTCAAAAAGTTGTTGGTGGTGGGGGAATAGTTAATTAGAATCCCTTTTTATGAATAATTACCTCTGTCTCCTTAGGTCTTCGATATCTTTAAATGATTCTGATAATTTTTCCCATAAATGCTTTTGTACATATTTTATTGCATTTATTTCTAGATGAAGTTTTTGTTATCCCTGATAACAGCTGTTCTGGTTCTTATCATGCTGGTGTAATCAGTACATTTATTTTGGATATTCATATTATATCCCGAAGCTTTTTCAAACTTTGTTATAACATTTTTTAGATTATCTAGGATTTCATGTTTAGGTAGTCACTCTATGTAAATCATTCAAACTATTTGATATTTCATGGCCCTCAAACCTTCCCATTGTTTTCCATGTCTTAATGCATTGATTGTACTGATGATAGTCTTATCTTGTTCTTGACTGATACTGATCTTTATCAGGTTAAGGAAGCCTCTGTAGTGATAACATAAATGGCTTTTAAGATTTGTCTTACTTTTCCTATAGTTACTGAAGTGAATACGTATTTTCCCCTTTGGACAATGTGGTGAATTATAGGAAACTAATACTCAGATGCTGAATTAACCTTCATTCTTAGAATGAATCCATTTTGATCATGATGCATGCATGCTATTAACTCTAGATTAAGTGGCCATTATTTTGTATTAGGTCTTTGCATGAAAGAAGTCAGACTAATTTTTCCTTTATTAAGTATTAGTTGTATGCTCTTTATGGAATCAATAATCTATTGCATATATTTTCCTGTAATTTAGTCCTGTTTTTTCTTAATGTTTAGAATATTTGTAATATTTTGCTGTGAAAAACAATGCTGAATTGTAAGTCCTTGCACACTTCATTACAAATGTATCTTTGTAGGCTGACTATGCAGAAGTGGAGTTGCTTGGTCAAAGAGGGTTTTAGTCCATTTTCTGTGGCTGTAACAATATACCCAGAGCTGGGTACTTTATAAAGAGGTTCAAGAGCATGCTGCTGGCATTGCTTGGCTTCTTGTGCCACTCTATGCTTGGCAGCAAAAAGGAAGAGCAAACTGGCAGATGCTGAAGAAATCGCATGGTGAGACAGAAAGGAAGATAGCCCAGAAAGCTGGACTTGCTTTCTAATAACCTGCTGTCAGCATATCTAACTACTGTCCAGGGACTGCAGGTTCCCTTGTAAGAGTGGGCCTCCATGACTTGATTACTTTTTGAATTGCAGAGTGAGTTTCAGTGTGCACTAACCACTTCCAAAGCATAGCAAAGAGTAATTGTTATAAATATTGCATTACTGAACTTTGAAGTGGTTGCCATCGTCTTATCCGTGGTGTATGTCTGTTTACTTACATGTTTCCTTGAAGTATTTAGATAAGGACTTCAGTTTTTAGAAGGGGGGCTCCAACATGTTTGTTTAGTCCAATGGGTTTCTTGGTGTTTTTTTTTTGTTTGTTTGTTTAATTTAAAAGCCTTGTTGGAGGAGGCTGATCAGAGAGTAGATGTGTACTTTCACTCCCTAAGTGACTGCAACAGCCCCCCAGTAGCAGTGGAACTGGGGGCTAGGAACTCAACCCATGTCTCCCATGTGACAACTGCTTTGCTTGAGCCATCACTGCTGGAAATTGGAGCTGGGTGTTGAACGCAGGTTCCCTGATAGAGAATGTGAATATCTTCACTACAACCTTAACCATGTGCATGCCCCAATTAAACACTTTGAGCAAAGGAAGAAGAAAAAACGCAGTTATATTTCTCCCTGCCCACATGTGTTCTGCTTCACAGCCAACATTTTATAAAATAGTGCTACGTCAGCTTGCCTCCTGGACACTCACAGCCTGTCAGGTTTCCTACCTCTGCTAGCATACTGCAGTTGCCTTTACCCATGCCGTTGACTTTGTGACATTACTTGATTTCTGGCAGTGTTGGGTAGCCAGGCCATCATTCTTGGGACATACCTCACCCCACTCCAGCAGTTTTTGGGTGCTTTGCTGTCTTGTGTTTTTGTTGTTGTTATCTCAAACTCCTTGTTCTCCAGGGTGATTCCACTTGCTCTACCTGTTCCTGAGTGTTGGATCTCTGACCCCACTGTCATTGCTCTTTTCACTGTATGCATTCAGGTGGCCTCATCTGTGGCCATGGGTTCCCCTGTAGCTGCCAACGCTGTATCCAAGACTTCCCACCTTCGTACCCTCAGCTCAACACTGCTTCCTGAGCTGTAGTCCTGCATGTGCACCACTGTATTGCACATTACTTAGCTCTGCACCCAGCACTTCCCTCTACTGCAGCATCTTAACTAAATTCACCATGTTCTCCTTTCCCCTACTTTGTCCTGGTACACATTATGTGAGGAGGGAGAGGGGGACAGATAAACACTAAGTGAGTTCTGTGTGGTCTGTTTCCATTTCTTCCCTGCCTGTCACTTGTTAGATTCTATCTCCTGAAGCTTTATTTTTACTTGAAACAGATTTGTCATTATGCTGGCTTTGCGCTCTTGATGTCTCCTGTCTGAATCACTGTCATAGTCTCTCCTGAAATCCTTCTGACTGGGGCGATAGTATTTGTTTGTTTAGTATTTTATTTTTGTTGGAAAGGCAGATTTAGAGAGGAGAAACAGAAGGAAAGATCTTCCATCCACTGGTTCAATGCCCAAGTGGCTGCAGTGGCCGGAGCTGAGCCAATCTGAAGCCAGGAGCCTCTTCTGGGTCTCCCATGTGGGTGCAGGATCCCAAAGGCTTTGGGCTGTCCTCGACTGCTTTCCCAGGCCACAGCAGGAAGCTGGATGGGAAGTAGAGGAGCCGGGATTAGAACCAGCACCCTGATGGTATCCTAGCGCATTCAAGGCGAGGACTTTAGCCACCAGGCTATTGTAATGGGCCCAGTGGTGTTTTTCCTAAAGTATTAGATCATAGCAGCCCTTGGTGTTTATTGAAGTGCATTAGTTAGTGAAAAATATTTCTTGATTAGAAGAATAAATGCATGTCTGAATGATACTTTTCTCTCTTTTTCTCTCTTTTTTTGTTTTAAAAACTAATTAGGTAATAATAACAGGTAACTTATAGACAGCAGAATCAAATCTGCATTAGACATTGGCAAAACTATAAAAACATGCAGTGGGAATCAGGAGCGATCCTGACAGCTGCTTAACAGGAAGTCATGTGCATGGGGCAGGGGGGGACCCCAGAGTAGAGCAGGAGGACAGGAGGAGGCTTGTATCCCAACCCTGGAGACTCCCGGATCCTCACCAGGGGACTATCAGCACAGGCACAAAGGCTATATCCCAACTTCCAAGGAGACTACTGGGAAATGGAATGCCCTCGTAGGCTGAGAACTCTGAGTTCATCCATTCCCTTTCAGAACTCCTACACTGGATGGAAGAAGCCCAGATCCTTCCTCACAGTATCTAATGTCATCAGAACAATAGCCAGGAGCCCTGACTGGTCTACAGAAACAGAAGAATAGCAAACTTCCTTTAGTACTCGGGAGGGGAGCTTTCCCTGGTCCTTACTTAGTTCCAGCTTTGGATCCCCACCCTCTCTTGCAATGACCATCAAGGTCGCTCCAGAGGGGCCCTCCCCCCACAAATAAAAATTAGATAGACAGAGACCAATAAGGAAAGCTTAAAACAGACAAGAAACATTCAGCTAGGACTCACATATACCTTCCTAGGTAGGACACAAATATTAGTTACTCCTCACTAAGCTATTGAAGATTTCTCTGCATACCCCTCCTAAAACTGTTCTGCACCCCAATCGTTAACATATGCCTTGTTAGAGTTATAAGCCTGTTTGGACTATCCTGAATTCGCCAAGTTCAGTAAAAGTCATGCTTCAATACTATAAGCTGCTTAAATACAAAAATTAAAATAGACACAAGACAGGTGAATAATATCCTATAACCATTTTAAGGTGTAGAGCAGCTGGTTGTGTATAAACTAAAAATGAAATGTCAATGAAGTAATCACAGGATGAGGTTAAGAACTTGCATTTTCTAACATTTTGGTCACTCAATACCATACCAATTAACTCCAAAATGTTGCAAATTGTTGTTGATGTTGTGTTGTGAATTTTCATTGGAGGGGATGATATTCTGCCAGCTCTATTTTCAGACCAGGATGGTCTCCCAATGAAACTGTTGAACTTAACTGGACAATAAGATGCTGGACTCTGCATGGTACATACTTACAATGTAAAAACCATGACTGGATTTGAACTGTGCTAGTGCAACAATGTGGAGGAATCCAACATGGGAGAAGGCATGGGGAGGGGTTGGGGAATTCCAGAGCCTATGAAACTGTGTCACAAAATGAAATAAAAAAAATACGAATTAGGTTTTAAAGTGGAAACTTAGATTATATTTTAAAAATTGATACTTAGGCTTTTTTGGTAGGGGCGATGGTATGAGGAGGAATGAACTCTTGTGTGCTGTGTACTCTGAAAGCCAATAGTGGCTGAGACTGGCCAGGCTGAAGCCAGGAGAGTGTGCTCAGCCCAAGTCTCCACCCCCAGCAATCATCTGCTGCTCAGAATGTGTCAGCAGAAAGCTGGAGCAGAGCCATGTCGAGCCTGGACATGGGCGTCTGAGCCGGCATCCAGAGCTCTGGGCTAAACTCCTGCCCAGTCTGCATAGTTCGTTCATGAGTCTAGTTTTATAATTATGTGAATTTTGACCAGTGCTTCATAACTATTAGATTGGTATCTGTCTCATTTATAAAGACAAGATTTTATTTTAAAAGTGGGACTGATTGGAAATGGAGGATCTGGTTGAGAGCATGGACTTTGAGACTGAGTGAATAGAATTTCTCCCTAAGCTTAGTTACCTTTCTTAAATCTTGGGTTGGTTCAGCTTTGCCATTTGGAAAAGATGGTGTGAGGGTCTAGTGGACATTATGTGACAGTATGTGGTATGTAACAGGAATTGAGTAAATTCGGAAATCATGTCATACCAATTATATGCAATGATTTTAACTTGAAAATTGCTTGTCTTGCAGATAGTGTGTGTGCCGTATCAGTGGCGTATAACCATGCTCATCATTGTTATTGTCAATGCCCTCGTGTCTATCATGGTGGAGGTAAGCATTTCAAATAGGTCCTTGGGTACCTTGTTTGGGGATTCTTGGTGATTTAATGTTACATGGGAGAGGGGACAAACAACGTTCCAGATGCCCACATAGTCTAGGTTTCATTTTAAGTGAGTTCATTTAGCCTTGTCTTTTGACCGTTTTCATGAACTGACAGTAGTCTCATTAAGAGGTGTCACTTAGCTGCATGCATACAGATAGGAGAAAATTAATAGGTGACAATTCAAAATTTAATGATGAATAGAAAGGATAGAAGTTTGCTGCCCTGGTAGCCTATGTGTGAATGGATGGACCAGTGGCTTGGACATCAGAGTAGGGAGTGTACCATCTGTAAAGGGGAAAGCAGGGACTTTGTAAAGTAAATATTAATAGTGAGTTCGTTGGAAATGTAGAATTGTGACTGTGAAGGAATTACCTGGCTCGTCCTTCTTCATGTTTACTTCGGAATGACCTCTAGAGGTCCTGAGTATGCTTTGCTCCCCATCTCTGTTGAAGTGCCCCCTCCCATCAGGATCGCCTTGAGGTCAGCATCTCGAAAGGGAGCTAGCAGTTCTCACTGACTGCTTCGTAATCCGTTTTTGTAGAATGACTAATAAATCACATCTGCTGTGGCACTATAAGAAATGGAAGAGAGATATGGCTGTGATTTTTAAATTTACAGTTTTATAATGTAGGCTTTTAAGTGAAAATTGAAGTCTTATCAGGAAATATATTAAAGTAGTGATAATTGCTCTGGTCTGAAAAGTGCTCTAATTTCAGCAAGCCCTTAAAACATGACTTAGTATTTAAATTTGGGTTGTAGTGGATAGCACAAATATTGTTACACTGACATTGGAATCTGTTTTTCTGTATTGATACTAGAAAGTCAGATCTAAAAATGTTCTGTTTCTACAGCGTAAGTTCAGCTTTTCACTCAGATATAATTTGTTATTTTTACTATCTAAGGAGTATGTATATTAGATGGTGAGGAAATTGTACATATTTGTAAATACAGAATTAGTTGATACTAAACAAACATAATTCGTGTTAAGGAAAAGGCTTCAGATTATAAGCATTGCTTTAATAACAAAGCTGTGCCAAATTTGTCTAAAAGCCGTATTTTCTAGAAAATTTAAAAGTCCTATTTTGTCAAAAGTTTTATGTTTGTTGCCAAAGTCCTGTTACTCTTTATTCTTTTGTGATATTAACCGCAATTGTGTATATGAAAACCAAATCCTGTTTTTCACTAAGGATTCAACAGTGTGTAAGTATCTTGAAATGTACACATGAATAAAGGATGGCTTAGTCATTTTTGATTCCTAACTCACTGGACTGTCTCTCAGAGCTTCTTCCTTGACATGGTCCTTTGGAAAGTTGTGTTCAGTCGAGACAGACCAGGAGACTCCCGCCTCACCACCACACAGGCTCCACAGGTTGGAAATCTGCGCTCGCTGCCAGTTCTTCACGTGCTGTGGCTCTGTCAGTTGTGTGCTCTGCATTCCCAGAGTCTCCTGTTGTACGTTGCTTCAACCTTCTTCCTTATGCCTGGCATTCTGTTCCTGTGCAGAGCTCTAGAAAACTCATGACAAGCATTTGTTACGGGCTTTTCGGGGCTCCAGATACTGCGCTATTCTCTCTTCCATTCCAATCCTGATCTGTGTGTGCCAAGGTCTTGTTCTCAAAGATGAGCGTTAATCTTTCTGCTTCTGTCTGCTTTCAGTTTTATAGTTTTGATTTTCATGAGTCCCATGAGAAACTAAATGAATTTCATGTAAACGAAGTTTAAGTGGGGATTGTTTCTTCTTGAATCAGAATCCAAAGGTTAGAAGTTGGAGAAGTTTCTTGTCAGTTATTGTACCTTATTTTGGATGGCTTTTCCCAACATAGGTCTGTCATTGTTTAGGAATGGGCATGTGTGTGTAAAACGTGTTTGGGCAACTTGGTGGTAATAAAAAGAAGAGGAACAGGCCATAGTGTTAGGGCGCTTGTAGTGGCTGTCCGTAAGAGGGCAGAGATTGGACTCCGGCTAGGGCTCCCGAAAGACTGGCAGTGGTTGGGAGGATGCCCTGGCGTCCTGGAGTTGGGTCGCTCACTTATTTTCCGCCCGCTTTTAGCTCAGTGGCAACTTGCTGAGCTTCCTTGTGGTGGTCCAGCAGACCTAGCCTGTTGCCACAGGATACCCTTCTGTTTGCTAATGCTGTGTGGCACAGTGATTGTGTCATGATGCGATGAGTCTCAATCACCTTCGGTTGTTTCCTCTCAGAGGCATGTGATACCGGTTGGCATTTTATTGGACATGGTTAGAACTGTACTAGCAGCTCAGTTCCCTTAGCTAAATCTTCCCTGAGAGTATGTATTTTTTCCCATTTGGTTATCTCAGTCTATTACTTAAAAGGGTTAACTTTGACTCATGTCATCAGTCTTGTGTGGAGTGTTTACGTTGACAAGAGCCAGGCCTAGGAAAACATTTAGGTTGAATTTTCAGGTTCTCCAGTGAAATCTCTGACTGTTGATTTTTTTTTTAAAAGACAATACATGTTCTGAAAGTGAACTGTATCCAGATTCCATCAAAAACAGTGTCATAAAGCTCTTTGAAAATAGTTGATTTGGAACCCTCTCTTCACTTTTCAACCAAAACCAAATAAAATCCTGTCATTTCACTAGGTCTCTGTTTTCCAGAAGCTTAAGTATTTGCCTTCCTTATTTTGAGAGCTTGTGTCTCCAGTGGTCCAGGGTGGATAAGCTTCTGCTGGTCCCTGTGTTGACTATTCTGAGAATTACCAGGCAGTCATGAACTTGAGCTGTCCATTTCTGTGATAATGACTAAGAAAGCTTTTTTAAATTATTGGCTTTAGAAAAGAGAACTCAGAACCTTTCAGCACAGAGTAGTATACTTTCATCTTCTGACACTTTTAAAAAAATATTTTTAAAGGGAGAATGGCGGAGAGAAGGAGAGACAGACAGGGAGCTTCCATCAGCTGGTTTACTCCCCACTTGGCCACAATGGCCAGAGCTAGACCAGGCTAAAACCAGACAACTGAAATTCCATCTGGGTCTGTTGTGGTGACAAGGGCCCACGTGAGTTGATCGTTAGTGAGGACCTGGTTCCGAAGTGGAGCAGCTGATACTCCAAAATATGGGATGCTGCAGATGGAAGCTTAACCCACTGTGCCAAAATACTGGCCCTGGTCTTCGAATACTTCTCTGTGCATTGCAGTCTCACTGTTCAAGTGTGTGATTCTTCAAGAGCCAGTCAGATAGTCATGTAGTACAACACTGTGTTGTAAACCACCTTCCCTTCCCCCCCAGGTGTTTGGCAGTGTATTAATGTCAAAGGACAAAAACCCTCTTTCCCCGTAGACACGGACCAGTGAGTTAGGTTGAAAGTTTGAAAGCTAGAAAGCCTGGAATTGGACTTTGAACAGTTGACTTGGGAAATCAACAACATCACCCGGAAATCTTTAGTAACTCTGGCCCAAATATTTCTAATCTTAACATATTTCTAACTGCATTTTATTTATGAGGGAGCAGCATTTAAGTGCCTAGTGGTCAAGCACTTGTGGCCCACATCCCATATTAAAATTACTAGAATTTGTAATTTGTAAGCCACACTCCAGCTTCCTCTGCATGCAGATCCTGGGAGGTTGTTGGCCCAAGTGCTTGCCTGCTACCCACTTGGGAGAACTGGCAGGAGTTCCCAGCTCCTGGCTTCCTCCCAGTTCTGATGCATCCCCTGTTCTTGCAGGCATTTGCAGGGTAGCTAGCGTGTGGAGTGTTGTTTGCATTCAGCCCAGCTTGCCAGCAGTAAGCCCCAATGCTTTTGTGAAGTACAGCAAGGAGTTGAGATCAAGGTTCCTGGTTTCAAGAGAAGTGTTTTCCACTTTGCCACACCACTTCCTGTATAGCAGTCATGGGGCCTTAGAGCTGTAAACTCACATATAGGAATCAAATGACAAATTGAAGGCAAATGGTAGCTGTTTTTTGTGGTATCTGTTTTATGATGGACACTGTGGCGACATCTGGGTATACATTCTCTCTCATTGTTGTAGCAGTCTTAGAGATGAGGATATCTTTAGGTTCCCTGCCCCACTGTCAGAGGTGAGCAAGCAATACAAAATTAGAATTCAAGTTCAGGGCCATAGTATCCCCACACTACAGGCTTTCTTCTATTCTTTAAGACTAGATAGGCTCGAAGATAGCATTGTACCAAATACTCTAGACCCTAGGTTCCACCTGGCCCTCTGAACACTTATACAGTGAGCCTAAGTTAATGACAGGAAGTAGGGATTTTACATAGTAGAACCATGTCCTTTGTGGTTCGTTCTTCCTGATGATGCTCACGAGCCCCACTGTCTATTGAATAAAATTGGAAATCAGGTAGAGGAAGCATCTGCAGCTAGTCCAGGCTGAAACCCTCCCGAGCCACTTGCTCCTCCAGCAACCCCGGGTGTTGGTGTTCAGACCCTGACCAAAACACGGGATGCCTTTTATAGCAGTGATTTTCAGGTGCGATGCTCATCAGAAAGACTTTCCTTCCGATTTGCCCTGTTGGGCAGTGCGTGGTGCTGAGGCTCTCCCCAGTCTGAGAGGTGTGCTGTGTCCATATGAGAGGTACTTGTGCTGACCCTGAGTCTGCTGGACAAGGCCTCAGGATCATAGAAGGGGAACTGGAGACCTGCTGTCATGTGATTTGATTCTGCCAAATTTCACAGGGTGAAAATCCCAAGCATTAACAGTAGTCTTTGTGCTGGTTAAAGTATAATTGGAGTTTATTTAAATAGAAGAGTGATTCTGATTCTGTTTGCTTTCTGCTCAGGATTGGTATGGAGGGAGATGCTGGTGAAACACAGAATCATGCGGCATGTTTTCCTTCCAGCATGGCTTTGTGTCGTACATGCTCCGCATGCAAACATTTCCTGAACAGCCTTTAAGAGTCGTCGGGCATGTGGGCTCTAGAATGAACAACACGGTGTGGTCTGAGAAGCAGGAGAATCCCAGCTGCGGGCCTTTGTGGAAGGCAGCCCCTCTTCTTCCCTCAGCAGATGTGTTCAGTGACTTGAGCATTCCCTTTCATGAACAAATCCCAAAGCCCAGTTACCGTAGCTCGTGCATTCTCCTGCTTCCGGGACAGCCCCGAGCGCTCGTTCTAAACCCCGTGGCTCTGCCTCATTGTCTTCATGTCGCGCAGCACATGCTTTTCTTCCCTCACTCACCCATGCCCTGTTGCTGCCGACCCCTGCATGCACGCTTTTAACTTTCTCTGCCAGTGAATTACACTGTGTTTGGGGCCAGATGTGGTGTGTTTGTGTTTGTAAACTCAGTCTGTTTGGGAAGATAAGGGTATTGGAACAGAATGTTTCTAATTGCAGTGGGGCAGGGCCCCTTGAGTTCCTCCCGACTCCAGCAAATGTGCCAGTGTACGTTGTGTTTAATTAGGGGTGCAACCTGAATGTCAGAATACTTTCCCATTATGATTCTGTTTGCAGCTAAATTAAGTTTTAATTGCATTGCTTGCCTTGCTTTCTACAGGTAGGGAATGGTTGGCACAGTTGTCTGCACTCATACTGTGTGTCTCAAATTTGAATCCTTGAATTTCCTTAACTCAGCCCACTGTGTGGACAGAGAAGTCCTGTGAGGTTTTGCTTAAGATTTATTTATTGTTTAAAAAAAAAAAGATGTATTTATTGTTTGAAAGGCAGAATTACAGAGAGAAAGTGAAAGTCTATTTGTTGGTTCACTTTGCCAAGGCCAGGCAAGGCCAAAGCCTGTAGCCTGGAATTCCGTCACATTTCCTGTGTGGATTGGGGGGGTCCAAGGCATGTTCTCCTGCCATCCCAGGCGTATCAGCTGGGTGCTGGATTGGAACCGGAGCAACTGGGAATTGTACCCATGTGAGTGTCACAAGTAGGGGCTGCCTGTTCCACCACAGCTCCGCTGCGTGTTTCTGCTGTTTCTTAAAGTTGGCAGCCAGTGTTAGTCTTTCTCAGAGCAACTTGCCCTAAAATAAGTGACAACTTTCAGATTTGTGGGGGAACAATGATCTTTCCCACAGTGAAACACAAATTTAAACACCTTGGGGAAGTAAGGTCTCAGTGAACGACCGTAGATTGTGATTGAAACTCACATTTTTGGTGTAGGTACCTACATTGGAGAGAAATCGCTTGTTACTTGGATCACCTGTAGACTCTTGCACATGAAGTTTGAGTTCTGCATCTTAGTGCAGTGTATTGTCTGGACTTCTTTTCAAGTCCTGGTCACATAATAGAGAGCTATTATGTTAAGTCCTTGGCAAGCAGTGCAGCTTACTGGGTTTGCAACTTGCATGTTGGAAGCACTGGGTTTGAATTATACCCTGCTCAGTGGTGTGCCTAAGCAGAGGGCACAAGAAGTTGGCTCTTGATAATAATTTCAGTAAGAGGGAAACTTAGTAAGTGAATGTAGGATGAAAGATTCAGAGCTGTTATGTAAAGCTGTTCTCCTTTGGACAGTGCAGAATCCCATTCAGAATAGCTCACAGCCCATTTGCCTGTCTTGATGGTGGAGTATTTTGGGTATTAAACATTAGAATCATATCACAGCTATGTTGTGCCTCCATTTTGTGGAAACACTGAGAGTGGAGCTAGTTGAAGGCTATATGTTTACTGTCAGCACAAAGTAACCTACAATTAATGTTTTATTTTAGAAAAACAACAGCCAGAATTATCCAGAGTTGGCTGTGCAAGATGAGCATAAAGGCTTCATCAGGACAGTCACTTAGTTTGATTTCATTAATTGCCAGTGTTTCCAGAGACAGATTGTAAGGATCCCTTTGGACTGTCCCTTGCGTTACCCTGTGCATTCCCAGAGACTCTGCTTGCTCGTTCTCAGGGAACATCTGTGTAAGACCACATTCACTAAAAACGTTGGGATCAGCTGGGGAGAGTACAGTAACTGTGAGTTATGCCTCTCTGTGTGTCCCCTCCTCTGGGGCACCCAGACAAGCCAGCATGATCAAGCCAACTTCGTTTTTTTGTTTTGTTTTGTTTTTGTGCTGATGTGGTTGACGTTAAACATGAACTGAGCTCATTGAACTAAAAATTCTTAGTTCACACTTCAACTTTTGAAAGGTGATCCTTAACTGTGATATTTTGTACTGCTTTCTGACAGAAATGATCAAGTGGCAAAGTTGTTAGCAATAATAACAAAAGCTAGTTTGAGATAAAATAAGAATTTCCCAAGTAGATGTCAAAATGCTTTTTCTTCCTTAAAAGTTTATTCTTTGGCCTGGTGTGGTAGCCTAACAGCTAAAGTCCTCACCTTGCACACGCTGGGATCCCATATGGGCGCCAGTTCTAATTCCGGCAGCTCCACTTCCCATCCAGCTCCCTGCTTGTGGCCTGGGAAAGCAGTTGAGGAAGGCCCATGGCCTTGGGACCCTGCACCCACATGGGAGACCTGGAAGAAGCTCCTGGCTTCAGATTGGCTCAGCTCTGGCCATTGTAGCTACTTGGGGAGTGAATCGTCAGACGGAAGATCTTCCTCTCTGTCTCTGCTCCTCTTTATATATCTGATTTTGCAATAAAAATATAAATCTTAGAAAGTTTATTATTTAATATCTTGGATGTTTTGTGATACGGAATCTGCGTCAACAGTTACTCTTTCAATATATCAGTAAACATAGGATAGGCACATAAAATCTAGAGTGAAGATTACATTACTGTCCCAAAATCTGATTTAAAAATTTGTTCCTGATTAATTGGAAGCTGACTTTTAACAGTTTCAGCATAAAATGTTTTTATTTCTTGTGTGTGTGAAAGTCACCTCCTACTGTCTGTGCTGATGTATGCTTCCTTAGCCAGCTCATTACAAGCAGCCAGCCTTCCATCAGCTCCTGTGTTCTCTCTCCCTTATTTTCTTAGGAATCAGTGGACCGGTGGGGGAAGTGCTGCTTATCTTGGGCCATGGGCTGTAGGAAGAAGATACCCAAGGCCAAGTACATGTGTCTGGCACAGGAGCTGCTGGTTGATCCTGAGTGGCCACCAAAACCGCAGACGACAACTGAGGCTAAGACTCTGGTCAAGGAGAACGGATCGTGTCAGATCATCACCATCACGTAGCAAGCAAGGCGTCAGTCTCGGTGGGGTGCTCACAGCAGTGTTCAGGAGAATGCGCTTCGGGATTTATGGACATTGGGAGCCGGGGTGGCACTGTTACAGCTTATGTCCCTTCTAATACAAAAGCTTTGCGTTAAAATAAATAAATGACTAGCAGAAAAAGGTATTGGCCTGGCAGTTACATTAACAATCTGTAAAGTTCTGTATTCAGTAACTTTAATATCATAACACATTTCCAGAATTTTCTTGATTGTCACTTTCAATGATAGTCCTTATGTTGGATATAGAAGAAATTGAATGTTTAATACATTTTTAGACATTAGCATGTAAAACCAGTTTGCCCCCTTTAAATGTATGTCTCAGCCCCCTTACTAGACTTTGTCCCTTTTCATTTAAGGGCCCTAACTTTATGATTGATAGTAAAAATTAAATGGGTGTTCACGAGCCTCCAGAGCAGACAGATGAAGGTCTTTTTGATTTGGTTACACTATTTCTTCCAAAGAATTCCATATGAACATTAACCAGTTCCCTTGGGTAGCCTAGAGTCAGGAGTAAGTTTGCATAATATTGCTTATAGAACAACTCAGGTATTTCTGGTTCTGGTTTTATATTTTCTGTACAAACTGCCTGGGTTTTATTTTTCTAAATCGGCAAGGTGCTCCACTGCCTTCTTGAGATGTTCCTCAGAGCTGTTCAGTGGATCTTGTGTTACGTCTGCTGTCAGTGATTTGCTTTGCTTCAGTTACACATCAAGCCCTTTTCACAAAGAGAAAGATGATTTCTCTTGGCAGTAGTTGTAGATCTGATCTCTGCTTAGCTGTTTTTCTCCCTTGGGCTTTGTATTATTTTAAATACTAAAATACTCTACTCTTCAGGTCATTAAAAGTAGAGAAAACTAGCAGTAAGTTTCTTTTTTCCTTTTCTCTCTCTCTCTCTCTCTCTTTTTTTTTTTTTTTTTGAGTTAGGAAAGATTACTTAAGGTTCGGTGTATGTGTGCTAGCAAGGCTTAAAAAATAATGAGTTTCAGATTTGAACGCTGGTCTCCCAAGTCGTGTGAACTTGTTGAGTTAGTTGGATGCCATTAGGGGGCGCCAGAGGTCGGTGCATATCTGTTTCAGATTGGGATAGTTCCAAATGAGCATGTTTGATGTGGATGTTTCTAGGAGGAGATAAAGTTGGACATATTTATTGAGCCAGAATAATCGTGGAATCATGGAGAATATGTTGTTAACTTTTGGTTTTACCTGAGTCATGTTTCAATTCTAAACAAAAGTAACTTTTTAAAAATGCCGTTATAGGTAGAACCCAGCAGTTTGCCCTTGGTCTCAGTGACGGTAAACCCTGGAAGTGGATTGCTGTGATGGACCCCACACTCTCCAAACAGTGTGGCATTTTCCCGTGTTCCCGATATTATCTACCAGTTTACCAAATGTACCCAGAATTGTAGAACCAGAAGGTTCTCATTCTTTATGCTGCAAAGACCTGAATGATATTTGGTAACCGCATGAAAAATGTCAGTTACACTCAGGACCACTGCTGTTGCCATTGACGATTCACAAAATGTAATCGCAGTTTTCCATGAAAATGTCTGTGATATTAATACACACTAGATGATAAGAACAAATCCATGAGTGATTCTATGAAGCTATGCATCTTAGACCTCTTGAGCTGTGAGTTAGCACTGTTGGTCGACATTATTTTTTTTTAATGTCCACGTTCATGTTACCCTTTGGTGGCTTCCAGAATTGTAAATTTTATTCTCTGGTTTATATACCAGATCATTTGAGTAATTGCTAAGTAGCAGCTTTAAAAAATCTAATTATCAGAATGTATCTAACATCTTTAAGAGCATGATCATACAAAGCTGTTTTTGACCCCACCCACCCACCCCTTTTAGCATTTCGAGTTACAAAGGGTTTTGGGTCTCGGCTGTGCATAGTATGTCCAGAGGTATGAGGCTTATGGGAGGTTGTATCTGACTGTAGCAGGGTTACTTGAGGAATACCTGTGAAGGCAGGTGTGGGCCCAGTGCCATAGACAGACTGAAGCTTCTCTCTGTTGGTCACCAATGACACCGAAATTCTGATTCTGAATTTTATGTTAAATTATTTTAGTGTATACAGACCTAAATTTTTAAATTTGTACATATATTATTTTGATGTATTAAGATTAATAAATATTTCTGATTTAAATTTTATTTATGCACATACTTAAAAGGACAGAGATGTCCAGGAAAGTAATTGTTAAATAATGATACATGTAACTTTTTAACTTTTTAAATAAATAACAAGATTTTTAATGGGTGTCTCCCTCAGGGTTGTTCAAAGTTTTTTTTTTTTTCTCCCTGAAATGTAAATCATGGGAACTATATGTTTTGTATCTTCTAGCACCGACTGCTGTACAGCAATGCTGCAAATAATGCTTGAATAAAAGTGGCTAAGCCAACAACAAAAAAATACTTTTTATAGTAGTTTTATAATCCTTCAATTTGAAAAGCTTTCCAAATTGCACTTGCATTTAAAGCAAACTGTTGCAGCTTTCACTCTATTTATTTTGTTTCCTATGTTTGTGAAAGTACTGCACAGTTTGAAATGCATGGTAAATAATATTCAGTGTCTGTAGTCTGTTCCAGAAACCGCTGTAGATAACCATACCCAAGGAAGAGCAAGACCCAGACTTTAGGAAACGTTCTGATTCTTCGTGCATGCAGCGTTGACAGAAGTCAAAATAGTTTTTTTGTATATTTATGGTGGGAGGCGTTTGGAAACCTTTAACAAAATGGGGTGTTGAATTTTGTATAGTGTGTGGGCATTTACACATATTTTTAATGTATTAAGATTTGGTAATTATGTGCACATGAAATTAATAAAATTTCTTCCTGTTATGATTTGTGAATTCCTTTAAGAGCTTGGATTTTTTAAGTAAATTTATATCAGAAATGATACCGCATCTTTATATTTTTTAAATTGTATTGCTGCTCACGAATGGTACCTTATTGTCCAGAAGGCATACATTCATGGTTGTACATCCAGCATTGTAAATAACCTTAGGAAATCTTTTTTGATTGAAGCTATTCAAAATAAAAATTTAAAAGAATGCAATGACATGTCGTCTCTTCCATGTGCATACATTTGTTTGGCTTTTGGTTGCCTAAAAGCTGCCGTCTCTGAATTTACTTTTCTGCTTAGTGTTTCCTCCTTTCTCTTTTTCTTTTAACACTGGAGTTTTGAAGGAAGCAGTTCATGTGTCGCATCCTATCTGACCTCCCTGGGGAACACCATCAGTCCAATCCAACATAAAATTGAATGTTTAGAGTGTCATGAAGACTAACAGGTGTCATAGTGAATGTGGAGCCTGAATAGTTAGTTGGGAGGAGCAAGCCACAGCGAACAGCATGCCTAACATCCGTGAGTGCCAGGTGCACCCATGGGCAGAAGCTGGCGCTAAGTAGAGATGTAGAATTTCCACTGAAGGCAGGGCTTGTGAGGGGGAGGGTGGCACTTCCAGGCATCCTTGCTTATGCAGGAAACGGAAGCCTCCAGCACGTGTGTGGGGCTCACTGTGGTGAATGTCTTGTGCTGAGCTTGTGTCATATAGAGAAAAGCTGAATTAGGTGGCCGCGGCGGTCAGGGGCCCCGTGTGAGATAGCACTCTGCCTGCTTTTTCTTTTCTGGGCCATCAGAATGTCTTGCTCTCTTCAAAGCATGTGCTCTGTGGAGGCAGCACCACAGCCTTACTCCAGATCATCCCTTCACACATGCTTACTGGGCTGCCAGGCCTGGTTCCCTGCCTGGCTCCATGTGCGTGTGATAGCCACCTCTATATCCTTGTATGTCTTAGAAAAATCCTGTACATTTGATTCCATTTTGTATGTTTACACTGCCCTGATTTTAAGTCAATTGATGCATTTTTTTTTTTTTAAGACTTGTCTTACTTTCTTTGAAAGATGGAGTTGCAGGTCCTCTCAGAGTAGCCTAGTGGCTAAAGTCCTTGCCTTGCAACCGGGATCCCATATGGGTGACAGTTCGTGTCCCAACAGCCCCACTTCCCATCCAGTTCCCTGCTTGTCGCGTGGGAAAGCAGTTAAGGATGGCCCAAAGCCTTGGGACCCTGCACCTGTTTGGGAGACCCAGAAGAATCTCCTGGCTCCTGATCAGTTCAGCTCTGGGGGTTTGTGGCCACTTGGGGAGTGAATCAGCGGGCAGAAGATCTTCCTCTGTCTTCCTCTCTATATGACTTTCCAATAAAAATAAATAATCTTTTTAAAAAGATGGAATTACAGAGAGATTTTCCATCTTCTGGTTCCCTCTAGCCAGGGCTGGGGGTGATATGCCTCAGCTGCTTATCTGTAACCCCCACGGGAGCCCTGGCACGAGTTCCCACTCCCAGGTGGTCCATCCTTAGTCCTGGCCCTTGATGGCATCTGAGCATCAAATCCGTCGATGGGTGCTTTCAAACTTTTTAAAGCTTTTAAGTATAGATTTGAACTTTCTTGCACCAAAATAAAATCTTTTCATCTCATTTTCTACAAACTTTTTGAAAAACCATTGCATGTGTTTTGCCTATTGAAAAGCTGGCAAAAGGAAACACAGATTTCTCAAAGGAAGGAAAAGTGGCCCTCAGTCATACAAAAAGATTCTGGAGTGTGTCCTGAAGCACTGTAACTAAGCTGAAGTCAATGTTTCAAGGGAATTACAAAGTATTTTAAGCCCATGCCAAGTGTGGGTAGGGCAGGTGGCATTGTGTAGCGGGGAGAGCCATGTTGGAAAGCAGCTTGACCCAGCCAGGGTAAAGCAAATGTGTGAACACTCTTCCTTCAGCTCAGCCATGACGCTGCTGAATACGTCTGTTGATATAACAGCCTTGAAACTTGAAAAGACACAGCGGAGCCCTGGAGAATATACCTGGCCTTATTACTAGGAGCGGGGAGGGGCAAGGCTGGAGTGGACAGCTGAGCCATGTGGCCTGGAAACCAGGACCCCCAAGGAGGTTGGCCCCTGCCAGGGCTGTGGCTGCTGCAGGGGCCGCATGGTCATTTGGCATTTTAGCAGACGGGAGTAGGTGTATGCCATTTGTGGAGATGCTCCCCACCTTCCTGGCAACATCCACAATAGGTCACAAGTTAAATCTGGACTTTTCTTTCCTTTTGAGGATACTTGTCATCGAATGTGCAGAACGGAGTCCCTTCTCTGACTTTCCTTCCGGTAAGTCTTTGTATCTCCAGGATGCCAGGTCGTCTTCCTCTTCCTTGGAAAAGTGCCGAATCCCAGGCATGATTCCGGGCTTTTCAGATGCATTGGGGTTCAGAGCCATGCCAGGTAAGACCAGGTTTAAAATTTGTGCTGGAATGAGAGGGCTGTGTGTGTGTGTGCGTTTAAAGCAGTAACATTTGCTAAGAAGCAAGTTTTAAATTTCACTTGGGAAACACTGGGTACACAAAATTGTGTGTGTGTCTTTCATGGAAAATTAGATGTCACATGTATTTAATGCCTATTAGGTATCTTGGAATGTGTAGCTCCTTATTTGTGGCTAAGTCAGAAATGTTGCCCTGAAATATCTAACCATGTGACTTAATTTAAATGAGCATCTTCATCCCAGAGTTTATGGTACTGCTTGCCCAGACTGCTGCTGTAAGGGTTAAATGATACACAGAGTGCTGAAAACAACACAGTGGCCTTAGCATGTTACCTGCTTTCCCTGGTTCAGCCTGGTTCAGTGCGCGGGTGTCCTGGCTCTGTCCGACAACTCCTCGGAAGACTCCAAGCGCCCGGCCCTGCTGCCCAATGGCTCGGAGCCTGGACTGTGGGCACTGCTCGCTGGCCAATGTCCCGACCCTAGGTTGTTCTGGGGTCTCTATATTCTTTTGGCTACTCAGGCCACGATACCCGGGATCCTTGTATTTGCCATGATTAAAATCGGCTGACTCTGGAAGATTCATCAGAGAGTACGCTTTTGTTAGAGACTGCCCTGGGGACTGGGCAGCTTGGGCTCTGCTGTGCCTTCCTCTTCTCTTATTCCTCCCCCTCTTCTCCATCCTCTTCCCTCCTCCATTCCTCCCATCCCTCTCCTTTTCTGCACCTTTTTCTCCACTCTCCCTGTCTTCCTGCCCTTCCTCTTGTCTTCTGATTCTGTCTCCACCTCCTTCCCAGGCCTTCTGCCTGTAGATCCTGGCCTGCACATTCCCAGATAGGAGATTGCTTTCTGCGTGGCCTGGTCGGGCCACCTTGCTGGGGGGATTCTCCTGTGTTTGCTCTCTGAGGCGGCAGCATCCTGCAGAGCCTATCTCCTGGCACAGCAAGTGTCTGGGCAGTGTCTGTGCAGGCGATGAGTGGACACAGCGAATCCCTGTGCTCCAAGTGCTGGCTTTTCCTTGGGGAGCAGGGTCTCCTCCACTACTTCCAGAACTCTGCCAGTTCATCTTGCTCACATGGCAGCTGTCCAAGCTGGGCACTCTTTGGGGATGCTCTGGTTTTGGGGTCCTCAGGGAGTTCTTTCCAGGTGGGGAGTGGGATGGGATGGGTGGGAAAATCCCAGGAACTTGGCCCCCACCCTGGTAGCCCCTAAGTCAGGGTGGGGAGCCCAGGAGACTGGGAGCCCCGAGGGAGGCTGGGGTGGAGGAGGTTAGAGCTTGGGCTGGCAAGGGGACTCCATATGTGCCTGGCCAGGCTCCTGTAGCTGTGCCACCTGTCCCATACCTCCTGTGAAACCCACGCTTGCTTTACTGTGTCATTTGTTCTCACTTCCTGGATCTCAACGCCAACTCACTCGCAAGCATTTATGAAGTGCCCAACATGTGACAGGTGTTCCTGAAGGCAATGATATGCTTAGTCTAGTTTATTATGCTACCATCACATTCTCATTTACTCTTGCAATGGAAAGCAGTAAAACCCTTGTTGCTTTAATTGGGTGTCTGCTTGTGACAGGCAGTGGTTTAAACACGTCTGGGGAGTAACAGCGATGGCACCATCACTTACCTAATTGCAGAGTGCTTTGGGCAAGGCACCTACACACCTTCTCACATTTTCCGAGCCTGGGCTTCCTCACCCCGGAAAAGGGATAAAATTGTGCCTGCCTCATAGGGTTGTTGTAAGAATTAAAGACAATAAAGCATATCATGACTTAGCCTGCTGACCTGCACACAGTAGATGCTTAATAAATATTGCGTACTATTTTTAAAGGATGAGCAATTGTTATTGGCATCTTGTTTTCTAAGGAAGAGCTTTGGGATGTTGCTTGTTTTGGTTTTTTGTTTTATTTTTTGGAGGTGGCATTCGCGTCCAGCCTCTCCCACCAAGTCCGGTGCCGTCTCAGCCATGCCAGGAAGGGTCGCAGGGCGCGAGCGCAGCGCTGGGAGTTGTTTCCCAGCAGCACCTGTATCAGCCGAGGCAGAGCCTCTAACACATCACCTGCCTGGCTTTGCAGCTGCTTGTAGTGGACCTGTACCTTCTCTAGGCTGCAGTGCCATGCCCTTTCTATGGGTGCCGGTTTGAGTCCCGGCTACTCTGCTTCCCTTCTGTTGCACCTGGGAAAGCAACATAGGATGGTCCAAGTGCGTGGGTCCTGGCACCCAGCTGGAAAATTGAGAAGATCCTGGCTTCTGGCCTTTTCTTGGTCCAGGCCTAGCCATCTGGGGGAGTGCCAGTGGATGGAAGACCTCTCTCCCTCTACCTCTCTCTGTAATTTCACCTCTGAAATAAATAAATAAATTTTCTGGTTTTAAAAACCAGAATATTTTATAACATTATTTTATATGATACTACAACTAGTGACATTGAATAGAAATGGTGGCTGTCAACATCCTTCAGACCACCCTGATTGTCTCTTTATTGGTTTGAAAATCAATAAAAGAAAAAGAAAAGGCAGCTTTTAGTGTTGTAACTTAAGTCACCACTTGGGGAGCCAGGTGTCTTGACTCAGTTGGCTGATCGTTAACAAGTACTGGCATCCCAAATGGCTGCTGGTTTGTGTCCTGGCTGCGCCACTTCCATCCAGCCTGTTCCTAGACTCCCTGCTAGTGGCATGGGAAAGCAGTAGAAGAAAGCCCAAAGACTTGGGACTTTGCATCCACGTGGGAGACCCAGCAGAGGCTCCTGGCTTTGCATCAGGTCAGCTCTAATCATTGTAACCAATTGGATAGTAAATCAGTTGTTGGAAGATCTTTGTCTCCATCTCCCGTTCTCTCTGTGAACCTGCCTTTCCAATAGAAATAAATATATCTGAAAACAAAGACCCCACTTGGAAAACCTGTATCCCACACTGAAGTGCCTGCTTCGAGTCCCAGTCCGTTTCTGATCCAGCTTCCAGATAATGGGTACCCTGAGTGGCATCCAGTCATGGCTCAAGCACTTGGGTCCCTGCATCCCATGGGAGACCTTGGCTTCACGCTGGCCCCTGTGGCTATGCCATCCATCTGTGAATCACTGGGTGGAAGATCTTTCTGTGAGTTTCAAACTAAGAAAAT